AAATCTTATTTACAAGGCTTTAAGGTTTGGAGTCTCATCAGGCATTCATATGAGATATATTTTATTAAATAAGATAAAGTATTTTATGTAGTATGAAGAAATGGTTATATGTTATGTAATTCAATATTTATAAACACTTTTTGAAAGATCTACATAATTTTTTACTAAATTCAAGAATTAAAATATGATGAAGCAGATATTTTGATATTTTAATCTCTTAATTAGCTTTTATGTAAAATATTAAAAATTAACAAAAAATTTATGAAAAATGTAGCAAAAGAACTAATTTAAAATTATGCAATTATATAATTTTTAAATTAAAAAAATCTAACTTGAATTTTAAAAAACAATTAATATTTTCAAATTATAAAATAAAAAAGAAATAAATAATTTAAGAAACTTTTTAGATCAGTTATTATTTTATTATAAATAAAACCTTCTTTTTGTCTTGAATATGACTATTGTAGAATAATTATTTTACCATTAGGAAGTATGTATTTAATAGAATGATAAATAATTTTTTATAAATTAAAAGAAAATTAAAAATTAATAAAAAAACATATCCTTCAATCTGAATAAATAAACAAAAAAAATTTTAATTAAAGATTTAATTTTTTGATGAATAAATAATCTAAATTCTAATTCAAACGTTTAATCTTGAGTTAACAATTTTTTTCACACTTTTAAATTAATTAGGAATTTAATTCAAGATTAATCTTTGATTAAACATGTTTTATTTATTTTTTTCTTCAATCAGGTTAAAAATCTGTTTCAAAGCAAATTTTTATTTGATTTAAATTTTATTTTATTTAATTAAGTAATATTTATTGTTCTACTAAATATTTATTTCGTACTAGCAAAATAATTATTGGACAATAGCTAAATTTATTTTTGAAAAACATTTTTAGATATAATAGATGAAATTAAATTAAAATCTATAGCTATGGTGGAATTTAGAAAAAAACAATTGAAGAAAATTAATTATAATGTTATCTTTATTTATAAAAATTAAGTTCATTTATAGTTTATAAATAAAGAAATAAAATAAATTAATTTTTAATTTAAGTTGCATTTTTAAATAAATTCATGCAAATTTCTACTTAAATTACCGTAATATCTCATTATCTCGGCAATTCGGCTTTCGGCATTTTTAAAATGCCGAGAGCCGAAATTTTTGAAAAATTGAGCATAATTCGGCAATTCGGCTCGGCAGGGTAAACGGGATATTACGGTAGTTAGTTTTTTATTCAAAAATTATTGTTATTTATTTATTTATTTATTTATTCCTAAAAATATCAATTATGTAAATATGAAGAGGAAATATTTTAATTACCAAATGAGTAAAAATCATATAAGACACTAAAAAGTTTAATATTTATAAATTGTGGAATAAAATTAATAAAAATATCGAATTCTATTTAAAATAGAAAGAATGTTTTTGATAAAAAATAACAAGCCTAGATTTGAGATAAACTTTTCTAAATCTGCTCTTATAAATTATTAAAGCTGATCATCTTTAAAATTTTTAAATATATTTTGTTTGTTTTTTATATCAAAAAATAAAAAATTTTATTCAAATGATGATGATTGAATTAATTTGATTTATGTTGTAAAGAATTCATTTAAATTTTTTATATAAATATTATGATTAGTAAATTTCCTTATTAATTCCCTTCGAAAGTAGACCATTAAAAATACTTTATCTATTTACAGCAAATAAATTAGTATTCTAAGCCAAAAAATATTTAGACATTTGCAAATTAATTTTGACCCTGAAATAAAAATTCTAAAATGAGTGAATTCTAAAAAAATTGTTTGAATACATTTAACCAATATTGAATATTGAATTAAAGATTGAAGTTTTTGGAATATAATAAAAAATGTGAATTTATTTTACATTTAAAAATACTTGTAAGCTCGCTTATTTTTTTTTAATAATCAAATGAATAAAAAATAAAGCGATTAAAATATAAAAAATTTTAAATATCATAAGATTAACATATTCTTTATTTTTTTACTTTGATTAGCTTGTGAAAAAATACTTGATAGATAGTATGTTAAAAGAACAATCAGCCAAAAAAGACTAAGTAGATAATAAAGTGAGTGAGTGAATGAGACACATTTCATTTAACTAAATTAATAAATTTCTAAGAGAAAATATTAGCCATAAATTAAATTTTGGTGAAAATTCATCTTGTGAAATTAGCACAATGCGTATTAAAATCATAGTATTATTAAAAAAGTTATTTTTAATATTATTAATCTAAGCGATTTCTATTTTGTGGCAAATAAACTGATTAAATAAAAATTAATTTTTTTCCCCCCCTTTACATTATATTTTGGAAGGTAATTAATTAAATTCTGTAAAATAATGCTAATTCATCTTACATAAATAGATATCTATTTATTCAATGCAGCTATATATTTCTTACTTTCTCTCCCTCTAGAATATTTACAAATTATACTTTTTAATATTTGAATTAGATTGAACTTTATCAACTAAATAAAATTTATTAATAATATCTAAAAATCTATTAGCAATAGAGATTATTAACCTGATTTAGGTCTTTTCTTTAAGTAGACTTTACCTTTTCAAAATTTCAATCAAATCAATAAAATTTACATTTTCAGTTTGATCATTAAAGATAAAGTTTATATAGTGCAAGGTCATAAATAAAACATAACGAATAAAGACCTCTATGAAGTCACTCAAGCTATTTATTTACATAATTAATTATGTTTAATGTGACTCTCAACTTAAAAAAATTTTTTGCTTTTTTTTTTTTAAATAACCAAAAGAATAAAAAAATAAAGTGATTAAAATATTATAAAAATATAAAAATGATAAGATGAAGAATATTCTTTATTTTGTTACTTTGATTAGTTTTTTGAAAAAATACTTGATAGCATGTTAAAAGATCAATCAATCAAAAAAGATTATGAAGATAATAAAGTGAGTGATTGATTGATACACATTTGATTTAAATAAATTAATATGTTTCTAGATAAAATTTTAACCATAAATTAAATTTTGGTGATAATTCATTTTGTGAAATTAGCATAATGCATAATGCGTATTAAAATAATAGTATTAAATTATTAAAAATTTTAATATTAATCTAAGCGATTTCAATTTCGTGGCAAATAAACTAATTAAACATTTATTTTTTTCCCCCCTTACATTAGGTGTTAGTAGGTAATTAATTAAGTTTTGTAAAATAATACTAATGCATCTTACATAAATAGATAACTATTTACTCATACAGCTATATATTTCTTACTTTCGCTCCCTTAGAATATTTAGAAATTACAGCTTTTTGATATTTGAATTAAATAGAATTTTATAATCAACAAAAATTTATCAATAATATCTAAAAATTTATTAGCAATAGAGATTATTATTAATCTAAGCGATTTCTATTTTGTGGCAAATAAACTGATTAAACTTTAATTATTTTCCCCCCTTACATTAGGCGTTAGTAGTTAATTAATTATGTTTTGTAAAATAATACTAATACATCTTACATAAATAGATAACTATTTACTCTTACAGCTATAAATTTCTTATTTTCTCTCCCTTAGAATATTTAGAAATTACAATTTTTTGATATTTGAATTACCTAGAATTTAACAATCAACAAAAATTTATCAATAATATCTAAAAATTTATAGCAATACAGATTATTAACCTGATTTAGGTCTTTTCTTAGATAAATTAAAGGAGACTTTACTTCTTTAAAATTTCAATCAAATCAATAAAATTTATATGTTCAATTTTATAATAATAGATGAAGTTTATATAGCATAAAGACATAAATAACATAACGAATAAATGCCTCTATAAAATTGCTCTAAAAGAATGCTATTTATATAATTATGTTTACTGTGACTCTCCACATAAAAAAATGTTTGCATATTAATTCACAACCTTTAATAAAAATTTTTAAATTTCTTTCTTATGATTTCTGTTTATTATTTAAATTATGTAAACTCCCTCTCCAGAATGGTAAATAAAGCAACTTCATATATATTTAGTGGCTGTGAGAGATGTTAATTTAAAATTAAAAAAAATATATATAGCTTAAAATATCTCAACTCTATTTTAACACATACAAAAAAATTATTTTCAATAACTTATAAATATTTACAGATTACTTTGATATAAAAAAATTAATTATTCTAATTCCTCGTTAAATCAATTAAAGGAACCCGCTTCCTCATTTTAGAAAGAAATTCTTGGTTTTAATACTTTTTTGGTCTGTTTATATTAGCGGCTCTTAATTAATGAAGAGTTAGAGTATTTCATAAAATAGCTTTTTTTCTTAAACTAAAAAGAAAATTTAAATTGCTAGTTTGAATAAAGGCATGTGATTCTGAATATTTATTTACCTATTTAATTGTTAAAATTATTATCTAATTTTATTTTTTAAAAATTATAAAAAGGCTTTTCTTATTTATTCTTTTAATAGCTTGCCTTAAATTATTTAAAAATGTTTGATAGAAGAATCACAAATAAAAAATTAGAAAAAAAATAATAAACATTTAGTGGAATTCTTCTTATTATTTTTTAGCATTTATACAACTATTAGTTATTATTACTTTAATTAATTGCTATTCAATTGTTCCAGATTTTTGATTAAACAAATATCCCATCTCAAAAAATTAAGGAACATTAGAATTTGCTAACAGAATAGATAGACATTCTTTATTAAAATCAGCTAAATAAAGAGTCAAAATAAAATTTAGTGATTAAATTTAAACGCATTTATATTCATAGGTAGGTTTTAAGTTTAAATAAATAAATATAAATTATTATAACAAACTTTAGCTATTTAAAAAAAAGAAAGATGACCTATTATATGATGATTAAGTATATAACTATAAAAGTTATTTTGCTTTTAGTAATCTAACTAAAGGCAAAAGAGCTATGTACAGAGATAGAAGGATGTATAAGTTGCATCAATAATGCTAATAATTAAAATTAATGTACTCAGTGTGATATGGATTACTAATTGGACTCAGAATAAAATTTATGCATTTATATTAAATGTAATAATTATTAGTTTTTCGATAAGTAATAATATGATGGCAGTCAAGAGAGCGGTTGCGTAGCTATCTGTAATTCTTCTACCTAACAAGATGATAAGACAAATTTGTGCAAAACTCAATTAAGATGTAACACTTAAAGACCTTCATAACAAATTATGCAGGAAAAAGTCATCACTAAAGACTTTTTTATATATCAAGATGATTATTATGTTGCCTAAAAAGAAGGATCTCTCTTTATCTATAATAGGACTGATGTTTCTCTCATAAAAAATATGTAATTCTAAACCAATGATCTTCTCTTATTTCACATAAATGATATAGTTTTCATAAAAGGAGCTGATTATTATTTATCTATATGGGATATTAAGAGTGACTCAAGAAAATCAATACAATACAAAGATATGATCTCGTTTGATTCAATTACTTCGTTTTAAAGTTAGTATAGCATAGCTTACATTTAACAATAAGAATAAATTTAATTATAAATTGTTTATGATGAACTGAATCAAATATTTTCTTTTTCTAATCCCTTTACAATAAGCGTTATCGCAAAATCAATTAAATTTATTGGCTAATATATTTTTATCTATGATTCATAAAAAATTTTAGTTTAATAAATAACAGTAAATTATGTTGAGAATAATCGCTTGAATTTGTAAGTAATAAATAGTTTTATTGTATAAAATATGCCACAAAGCACCTTTTTTGATATTCACTCCACATCTTAGAATGGAATTTACTGCTCATGTTTTGATAGTTCAGTATTTAAAATCAATTTGAATAATAATTCATTTGATTAAATTAATATAAGATATATATAGGATAAATATATTAAAAAATGTAAAATATTTTAAGCTTTAGACACGGATTTAAACCAATATTTGATTGTTAATACTGATTTGTTTCTAACTAGTATTGATTTAAAAACAAATTCTTAGAATTTTATTATAAGTCTTTATTATAATGGTTAAATTACAGATTTTGAGATCTTCAGCTTGTGGGGAAAAGAAAATTATATAATTATGATTAAAGATTAAATAGAAATGGCATTTTATTACTTTGATTCAAGTTTGTAAAATTTTGTTTTATCAGGACAAATATATATTTTGAATTATTCCTCATAAAGTCTGAAAAAAATAAAAAATAAAAATTCTACTTAAAATGAATTTGCTTAGGAGTTAGTTCTTTTAAATAGCGATTCTATTTAAATAATTAAATAAGGTAGTGTAGAGTAATAGAAAAGATCATTAGTGTAATTTAAAATTATATAGAATGTTTATTCACCTTTTCCTGCTACATTTTTAAATAAATTTTAGAATTAAAGAAGTTTATTACTTCTTAGCTACTATCCACCTCTTATTATTAAACGCCAATAAAATAATTAAATCATATTTTATGACATGTCAAATGAGAACGATGGCAAATTATCAAAAATAATACAATTAAAAGATAATATAGATTTCATAAAAAAACTTAGTAATAATACAATAATTGCTTTTAATAGTTAAAAGATAATAACAATAAATGTTTTTACAAAAAAAATGTAAGAAATGATGTGCCTATATTGCAAAGTAGATGCTAATGGTGATAAAATCATAATTTCTTCAGGTAATGATGTACAACTTTATTCTTTAGACATGCAAATGATATTTATGAGTGCTATACAATATGTGTAAATTTTTGAAATCTATTTGATAGAGAATTTAAAATTTATTATAACAGTTTATTAGAATATATTTTTATATTAAATTAATTAACTGAAAAATTAAGTTGAATTGATAAAAAATATATAAACCACTTCTGACAGTATTGAAATAATAAAATAATTTTCCTCTTTTTAAGATGAAATTAATAATAATTTTTATTTAGATTAGATTCTAACTTTCAGAGCAGGCTATTTTAAAATCTTTAGCTCAAATATGAAGTTGATTTACTAAATAAATAAACTGCCAATACAAAGAGTTAGATCAATGAGTCGAGTTATGTATGATGATTAGATGTATGCTTTATAAGGATACGAAGAAGGTATTATTTTAATAGACATCTCAAGTAATACCTATAAGTTAATAAAATCCCCATTTTTTTTTGGTTAATTCATAAAAAAAGAAAATTTAAATGGGAAAAAATATTATTCCACATATGCTTTTGATGAACAATCATTTTATGAATACTTTATAGATATATAAAGAAATATTATATAAATTAGTGGAAGCGATTATTTTTATAAAGATGTAATATAATATTATTCACCTTTTCTACCTTTAAAAAATTTAAAATACTCTTAGAATACTTCAGTATATTACTTTGAAAGCCGTGATGGTTTACTGCATTCAGCCTAAATTTAAAATAATAGATACTCTAAGCTTGATTTAGGTAATTATCAAATTAATTATGCAACTTATATGAAAAGAAGTGCTAAATTTGGAATATATTTTATTTTTAATTACTAATCAGTATACTCCTTTGATATATTCAATGATAGTTTTTTATAAATATTGATCTAATAAACTCAATTAGGCAGTATAGATATATTTGATGAAATCTTTTTAATAAGCAAGTCAGACAATACAATTATTTTTATAAATATGTAAACTAACGCATAATATATTTTTAAAGATTTGAAACGTGTTATTGGATATGTTTATGATTATAATGAAAAAAACCTTTATATATATGGAAGTAGCATTTATGTTATTAATGCTTAGCTTACTCCTTAGAAAATTGTAGATAAAGATGGAGACTATATCAACTGTAGAAGCTTAGAAAAAAAATTAATATGTTTATATTCTCCTTAAATTAGTATCCATAATTTTCTTTTATATGATAAAAAAGAAAAAACTATTCAGTAATTTAATACTTTATATGATGACATATAATTTATTACTGATGAAAAATACTAAATCATCTTTATATACAGTAGGTCAAGTCAAATTAAAATCTATAACTTTGATGGAATTTTAAAATAAACAATTGAAAAAACTTAATCAACATGTTAACTTTACTCAAAAAAGTATTTCTGCTAATTTGCCTAATGTAAATAAAAAAATTAATTTTTATTTTAAGCTTTATTTTCAATATGAGAAAAACTTCTCATTAAATTTATTATTTTTATAAAACCTTTTTATTTATTTATTAAATATCAATTTTCTTATTTAGAAAAATAAATCTTTAATTTAAAAAAGCTTGAAAAGCTTATAGAGTTATTTATCTTTTAAATTTATTAAATTAAATTAATTTTAAATTTATTTAAAAAATTAGATATGACTTTAATAGATAGACAAAGCTTCGATTTTACTTAATTTGATATTAGAGTTAGTTCTGGTGTAATTATCTAATTAATATACATCGAATAGCTAAATTACATATTATTTAACACAGATGACAGATAAGATTAAATTTGTATATATGATGTTTCTACTTAATAATAAATTCTTACTTTATCTGGAGTTAAATAAAACTCATTAGACAATAAAAATATTATTCAAGTATAATATGATGAAAGTTCTATTAGATATGTAATGTTTTTAGATACAGAAGGAACATTTTATCTGTCTTCCATAGATCCTAAACTTCCATTTCAAAGCTTCGTTAAAATAAGTGAATTTACTGATGGATAAGAAACCATACAAAAGTTTAGTTATGACAATATAACTAATGATGTTTTTATCTATTCTGACAAATAAATTTACAAATTTGATTTTAACTTATTAGGAAATTAGTATCAACCTATTCTAAACGAGCCACAAAGTTTGTTTGTTTAAATACCTATTAATAATATGCAAAATGATTATCTTATTGTCAACAAATATAATGTAATCTAAAGATATACAGAATAGAAAGTAAAATTTGAATTTGCCTTAAGTAATTAAAATTAAATAGTAGAAATAAAATACAATTAAAGCAAAGATATTTTAATACTTGCTTTTTCAGACTCTATTTTATTCTATTAATAATATTAATATAACAGAAATAATAACTTAATTTCTAATATTTACAAGCTTGACATTATTTAATTTTAGCAGTTTATAACTGACAGTGTTGTTATTACTTGTGATTCAAAAATTTTACATTTAAATATTGAAAAAGGTGTTATTATCAAAGAAATTTAATATAATTCAACATAATTAGTCACTTCATTTACTTTTAATAGCAATTAAGATTTAATAATAATAGGATTTAGTGATTGCTAACTGCTTTAATATAACTTAATAAGCTAAGAATATTTTTTATATAACACCACTTAATAGGGTCCTTTGTTAACTTAGATAATAAAAATTTAACTGATTGAAAACTTAGATAAATAATAATATGCTTATGCTATTTCCAATGGTGCTCTTTTGATTAAAATAGATATCCAAAAAAAAAATGTTATTTCATAAATAGACCTAAGACTTCTAGCCAATGAAAATTCTTAAATAAGATTGGCACATTTTTTGATTGATTTCACTTATCAAAGATATATTTTTAGTTTTAGTGGATAGAAGAAAGCTTACATATATAACTACTCAAACAATAAACTAGAATAAAATTTGATTTTACCTAAAATAAAAATTGATAGCTTTACTATAGAACAAGGCTTGATTTTTATCTAATGCTCATTTTAAATAAACTTGTTTATCCTTGACACTAAAATTGAATTTTTAACAGCAATTAAAAAAGATTTTATTACAGACAGAATAACTTCCTTTAAATTAATAACAAAAAACGTGATAGCTATTTTGTTCCTTGATAAACTCGAACTCCTCATGATAAAAGGTACTAAATTCAATATTTTAGCTTAATAAAGTTATGGATATCCTCAATTTTTAAGCTATAAATTTGATTCTCAAAAAAATATAGTAAATATATTATGCTTACATTAAAATGGAATTGTTGAAAATAATTACAATTTAGACATTTTCAATAAAGACTCAATATCAGGATGTTCTGCTTTGATTTCAAGTTAAGATAATGAATTTATTTAATAAGAACTAACTTACATTTCGCCCAAATAAACAGAGGTTATAACAGTAAATGGAATTTCTTTGATCAATTAATCAAATTGGAAAAGCTAAGTCAACTTATAAATATCTAGCTCTAAAATAGCAAATGTATTTCAATAAATTTCTTAATTAAAAGATAATCAATTTATCTTTTCACCTTATGATATTTAAAATAATATTATAGATCTTTAAAATAATACCTTTTAAAACCTTGGATAAGAAATTCTACAGATTGCTAATTTCAATTTCGACTTTTAAAATAATAAAAATTTATTTATCAATATCACCTAAAATAAATTTACCAAACAAGTAATATTTTAGAATATAACTATTTATTTAAAATCTTTTGGCACAAACCAAATATATTTCTCAAATATAGAAAAAGTAGTTTTTTAAGATATAAAAATATCTTATCTTGACCTATCAATATAAAATGATTTAAATTCTTTGATATTTTTCTATAATGTTTCATAAGTATTTATTTACAATCTTGAAGTCTCATACAATAGCTTTTATTAGACATCTTAGTTACCAATATTTTAATTTTAATTAATAAAAAATATTCTTATAAAAGGGGTAACATCAACAAAAAACACCAATCTAAATAGTTTAATGAGTTTTTCTCAAATCTAAAATTTAACGCTCATAAATTTAAAAATTAAAGAAAATATGTAAAATATCTAAATTGACTAAATTAATGGAATCTTTTCATTTTATGGATGCTAATATATTACAATTATTAATTGTTTATTTTAATCTAATAATCAACTTCTTCTTATTTATACAACAAAATAATATATTTTTGAAAACCAAGAAATATAATTAAAAGATGATGTATTGCTTTTTGAAAATTTTACAGTCAAAAGTAATAAATTTTTAAAAAGTAAAATCATGTTCATTTAAAGCACATTTGCATAATTTAATAATTTTACTTCAAGTTATAATGAAGGTAATATTTTTCTTGGACAATCTTAAACAGTTTTAATATAAAAAAGTAATTTTAATGCTAATAAAGCATAAAATGGAGGAGCTATTTAATTTTTAGCTATTCAGGCAAAAATATAATTCTAAGAAACTTAATTTTAACAAAACTCTGCTTTGAGCAGTGGAGGGGCTCTATATTTTGAGAATATAATTAAATGTTAAATTGTATTTGACAAGGATACAATCATTTAATTCAATAGAGCCTTGATTGGAGGAGGATTAAGGATTGTTTAGACTGATTAAAATAAATTATAATTACCTCTTTTCTTCCCATTTTACCATAATGTGCTTGAAAATATAGCAGAAATATACGGAAACGATAGTGCATCATATCTCTAAAATATCATTATTAAAAATAATAATTAAATTAACGAATATTTGTTTAAATTTTATAAAAATGTAATAAATGCCCCTAATAATTTTTAAAATGAGTATTAAAGATATGCTTAAATACAATAATTTAGAAGTGGTGGTCTTATTGATTTCGGAATATATATTGTTGATGAGTAAAATAGATATTTAAGCTTCTCAAAAGAAAAGCTAAAATAAGGCAATTATCCAGAAGATATAGACTTCGAGCTTAGAAATTTATAAATTTCAATAAATTAACTAGATTCTAATAAAAACTTAATAAATGGATAGCAAATTATTGATTTTAATTAATATGATTCTATAGATTAAACATTCTAATTAAACAATTTGCAAATACTAGGACCTCTTAAATCAGTTCAATATTTTTCAATAAATTCAACAATTTATAGGAGTTCTGTTAATAAATTACCTGTTCTTTTATCAATTTAATTTAGAAAATGCTAAATCGGGGAGATTATTTAAAACATAAATACCTTGTAAATTTGTAATCAGTGCTTGAATGGTACTTATTAGCTAAGTGATCCATAAGCACTTTATCAATAATCTTTATAAGAAAAGAAAGATATTAATAGATGCTTTAATTGTCCTGAGTCTGCAATAATGTGTTAAGGAAGTACTATAAAATTAAAAAATGGATACTGGAGGAAAAGCAATACTACAGATGAGATTATAGCATGTAATTCAATGATAAACTCATGTTAAGCTGAAAATCCTAACAGCATTAATTACTGCTCAGACGGTTACATAGGCCCTATTTGTGAGTAATGTGACATTTTAGGTGATGTTTGGAAAGGCTCTCGCTATTCATAATCTCTTTCAAAAGGAATTTGTGAAAAATGTGGAGAAAATTCAAAATTATGGATTTACTAAATTTTAAAAATATTAATTTTAGAACTTTATTTCATATATGTTTTAGGAGTTTTCATCAAAAAATTTAAATACTCACAAACATGTTACTATCTGAGAATATTAAAGATCCTCCCTATTAGCAGTAATAGCATATAGGACTACTCTGGATTCTATATAAAAATTATTCTTAACTATTATTAATTATCTACTCTATTGATAGCTTAGCCCAAGATTATTTCAATACATTTTAATTTGTTTAATAATATAATTGGGTCTGGTGACGTACAAGTTTCGTTAGGATTAGACTGTCTTATTAATGAGAATAGTATTCGGAAGATAGGAAAGATATTATTTTACACCTAAATTTAATTTTTGGTTCCTGTAGTAGTGCTTGCACTTATTCCAATAACTCTACATTATTATAAAGATTTTGCCAAAGAAAAACTAAGATCATACCACATTTATTTGCTTTTTCATATAGTTTTTATATTTTTCTAAATTAGCTAGATATCATATTTTACAAAAGCACTAACTTGCAAACAAGTAGGAAATTAACTTTACAACCCAATAGACTTATAAATTGACTGTTATGACTCTGATATAATTAAATATTTATATCCTTTCTCTGTGATGGTTTTAAGTTTTTGGACTCTCCTTCCACTAGTATTTCTTAGAATGCTAAATTTAAGAAAGAAAAAATTAGATTAATGTTTGAATAAATATAAGTATGGTTATTACTATGGAGAACTAAAGCATAGCCATTACTATTGGGAATTTGTTAGAATTTACCTAAAGATTGCTATAATTTATGTAAGCATTTTATTATAAAATAACAACTAGACTATTGCTACACTTACAATTACACTATTATTATGCTATTACATTAAAATAGTATCATAAAACAATCCTTTTATTTCAATCAACATATAGAATTGTGAAATAGCAGCTCTCACTCTAATTATCTTAAAAATGTATATATAGTTTATATAAATTTAAAATCCATAAACTCAAATATATACAGAAATCGCTCAAATCTTTCTAGATTATTTCTTCTTTTTTTGTTATTTAATGATAGTGATAGGAATTATGCTTTGCAACTCGTAGAATAAATGTGTAATTTTGATTAAAAACTTGCTTTTAAAAATTATGCCTTAGAAGCTCAAATAGTTAGTTAATGCAAATAAAGTTTCATTTTAAGCTTATTTGAAATGGAAATAAGTTTATAAGAAAATATAATAAAATTATAAATTCTTGACAAAATTTAAAAAATAATAAGTAAAGTCAAAGAAATAATTCAAATAAGTAAAAACTAATTTAAAGATATTAGATTTATAAAAAATTAATAAAAAAGAAGTTTTATTTTAAAATTAAGCTATAAAAAATGAAGATTGTAATATCTTATTTACAAAGCCTTAAGGTATTGAGTCTCGCCTAGCATTCTTATGAGAAAATTGATATATTTTATTAAGTGTGAAGATATATATGCATATATGTAATGTAATACAATATTTTTTTTATTTTTTGTTTGAATATCTACCTTATCTAAGTATAATTTCTTGTAAAATTGAAACAATATATATGTTATTATATTAACTTGAATTTCTTTAAGAAATAGAGTTCTCCTCATATAATATCAAGAAACAAGCATATATTAAATGTTAACTTTTTTTTCTTAAAATTTTTTAAATTTCTGAATTTTCAAATACCTTTTAATGTTTTCAATCTTTTCTTCTCTATTAAAAGACAGCTTGAGGAAATTTAGTAACTTTACTATCAAGATTATTTTTAACAGTAAAAACTGATGAATTTCTTGATATAAATATTTGTTTGGCATGAAATACTTCTTGATAATAATCTCAATATTAATATTTTTGAAAAATAATCAATATTTCAAAAATTAAAAAAATATACCCTATAGAACATACAGCCAATGGCTTCAGGAAAAATTAAAAAAAATGTTTTTATGGAAAATAACCTCTAGTTGGCAAAAAATTCGATACACGCAGTGAGGGACGAGGTTGAGAGGTAATACGGGTATATAAATCTTAATTACAAAAAAAAATCTGCAATTAGTTAGCAATGTCTCACAAAATAAAATAATATACTAATTTTATAATATTAATAAGTATAATATTTTATTTATTATAAGTTAGAAAAAACTTAGAGTTAATTTAAAATTTAATATAATTTTTTTATTTATTTACAGTGAATATATTAATACTCTTGTTGTTTCCATATTAATTTTTACCCTAAAAGAAAAGTTCTAATTTGACAAAATAGAGTCTTAAAAACTTGTTTGAATGCATCTAATCAATTTCGATTATTGAAATAAAGACTGAAGATTTTGAAATATAATAAAAAGTGTGAATTATTTTCCTTTTAAAATTTGAAATTCTTGTAAACTCACTTATATTTTTAAATAAACAAAAGTATAAAAAATAAAGTGATTAAAATATTATAAATTTTTTTAAATATCTTAAAATTAAGCATATTTATTTATTTATTTATTTATTTATTTATTTATTTATTTAGTTACTTCGATTAGTTTGTGAAAAAATACTTGATAGGAGTGGAGTTATAAGATCAATCAGCCAAAAAAGATTATGCAAATAAGAAAGTGAGTAATACACATTTCATTTAAATAGATTAATATGTTTATCAGATAAAATATTGACCATAAATTTAATTTGGATGAAAATTTATGGTTGTGAAATTAACATAATGCGTATTAAAATGATAGTTTTTGCATTATTAATAAAAGATATTTTTAATATCAATCTTAGCAATTTCTATTTTATGGCAAATAAATTGATTGAACATATATTTCTCCCCTCTTAAATTAGATGTTAATAGGAAATCAATTAATTAATTAATTAAACTTTGTAAAATAAAACTAATACATCTTACATACATACACAGCTATTTATTCATACATCAATATATTTCTTCCATATCTCCCTTAAGAAAATACAAATTACAACTTTTTTGATGATTGAATTAAATTGAATTTAATAATTAACTCTAATTTATCTATAACATCTAAAAATAATCTATTAGCGATAGACATTATAAACCATATTTAGGACAGACTTTTCTTTGATTAATTTTAGGATACTTTACAAAATTTAAATCAAAGTTACAAATCAATAAAATTTACTTGCTCAATTTTATAATAATAGATGAAGTTTAAATAGCAAAAGGGCATGAATAAAATAACGTATAAAGACATCTATGAAATTGCTAGAGAAGTAGGTCATTTTCATAGTTATGTTTAAAAATGTGTATCACAACTAAAAAAAAAATTTTTTGCATATAAATGCACAACCTTTAATAGAAAATTATAATTTTTTTTCTTAATTTTTCTCTTTATTACTTAACCTCTGTAAACTCCCTGCTTTGAATGATAAAAAAAACAATCTTTATATTTAGTGGTTGTAAGAGTTAGTTAATGGTAAATTAAAAAAAATAATATCTAGCTTGAAATATCTGAAGTTCAAATAATCAATTACATGATAAAATTATTTTCAATAACCTATATATAGATGCTTACAGATAACTTAGATAAACAAAAAAACTAATTACTCTAACTCCTCATTAAATTAATTAATTAAGGGAACCCACTTCCACATTTTTGAGGGTCGTTCTGGTTCCAACATTTTTCTATGCTTTTAAATAAGTCGCTCTTGGTTTGAGTGGAGTTAGAGTATTTGATAAAATAGCTTATACTAAAAAATAATAATAAATTGTCAACTTCAATAATTATGAATATTTACTTATTTATTTGTTAAAATGATTTTTTAATTTTATTATAAAAAATACAAAAAGGTTTTCATATTCCTTTAAAAAGTTTGCTTAACTATATTAAAAATGTTTGATTGAAGAATCACAAATATAAAAATTGAAAAAAACATTTAATTAATTTTATGCAATTTTGATAGATATATTTAATGAAATTTTTCTTATTATTTTTTCACTCGAAAGAACATATTTTCTTATTTACACAGCTATTAGCTATTGTTACTTTGATCTATTACTATTTAAAGGTTTCAGATTATTTGATTAAAAAAATACCCATCTCAAAAAATTAAAGAAGGATGGAATTTGTAAACAGAGTAAGAATTTCAATATTAAAATCAGCTAAATAAAGAGTAAAAATAAAATTTTGAAATTAAATTTAGAGGTATTTAAATTCATAGGAAGGTTTTAGGTTTTAAATAAACATAAATAAATTATTACAACAAATTTTAGCTATTAAAAAAAGAAAAGAAATATTATCTATTACATGATGATTAAGTATATAACTGTAAAAGTTATTTTGTTTTTAGTAATCCAATTAAAAGCAAAAGAGCTATGTACAGAGATAGAAGGATGTCTAAGTTGCACCAATAACGCTAATAATTAAAATTAATGCACTTAATGCGATATGGATTACCAGTTAGATTAAAAATAAAATGTATGCATTTACATTAAATGTAATAACTATTAATTTTATGACAAGAATTAACATGATGGCACTTAAGAGAGCGGCTGTGTAGCCATCTGTGATTCTTCTACCTAACAAGATGATAAGACAAGCTTGTGTAAAACCTAATTAAGATGTAATTCTTAAAGACCTTCATAAAAAATAATGCAAGAAACAGTCATCACAAAAGACTTTTTTATATATCAATCTGATTATTATGTAGCCTAAAAAGAAGGATCTCTGTTCGTTTATAATAGAACTGATGTTTCTCTCATAAAAACCATGTAATTATAAACTAGTGATCTTCTCTTATTTCACATAAACGATATTATTTTCATAAAAGGAGCTGATTAATATTTATCTGTATGGGATATTAAGAACGATTCAAGAAAATCAATATAATACAAAGATATGATCTCGTTTGATTCAATTACTTCATTTTAAAATTTCTATAGCATAGCATACATTTAATAAAAATAATAAATTTAACTATAGATTGTTTATGATGAATTGAATCAAATATTTTCTTTTTCTAATCCTTTTACAATAAGTGTTATCGCAAAATCAATTAAATTTATTGGCTAATATATTTTTATCTACGATTCATAAAAAATTTTAGTTTAATAAGTAACAGTAAATTAAGTTGAGGATAATCACTTAAATTTATAAGTAATAAATAGTTTCATTTCTTAAACTATACCACAAAGTAACTTTTTTGACATTCTCTCAGCATCTTAGAATGAAAGATACTACTCATGTTTTGATAGTTCAGTATTTAAAATTGATTTAAACAATAATTAAATTGATTAAATTAATTTAAGATTTAAATAAGATAAAAGTATAAAAAAAAGTAAAATATTTTAATCTTTAGAGACTAATTTTAACCAACATTTGATAGTTATTACTGACTTGTAACTAACTAGTATTGATTTAAACACAAATTCTGTTAATTTTATAATAACTTTAGATGGTAGTGATTAAATTACAGACTTTGAGATCTACAGTTTATGGGGAAAAGAAAATTATATAATTGTGATGAAAAATAAAATAGAAATGTCATTTTATTACTTTGATTCAAGTTTGCAACAATTTGTTTTATCTGAAAAAAAATATATTTTAAATTATTCCTCAAAAAGTATCTAAAAAATACAATATCAAAGTTCTAGTTAAAAAGAAATTGCTTATGAGTTAGTTATTTTAAATAATGATTATATTTAAATAATTAAATAAGGTAGTCTATAGCAATAGCAAAGATAATTAATGTCATATTAAATTATATAGAATGTTTATTCGCCTTTTCCTGCTACATTTTTAAATGGATTTTAAAATTAAGAAAGTTTATTATTTCTTAGCTACTATCCACCTCTTCTTATTAAACGCCAATAAAATAATTAAATCATATTTTATGACTTTTCAAATGAGAACAAAGGAAATTTATAAAAAAAATTGCAATTAAAGGATAATATAGATATCATAAAAAAACTTAGTTATAATACAATAATTGTTTATAATAGTTAAAAGATAATAACAATAAATGTTTTTACCAAAAAAATGTAAGAAATTTTGTGTATATAATGTAAAATAGGCACTAATGGTGATAAATTCATAACTGTTTCAGATGAAGATGTAAAACTTTATTCATTAGACCTGCAAATGATATTTATGAGTACTCTAGAATATGTGTAAATTAATGAAATCTATTTCATAGAGAATTTAAAATTTATTATAATAGGTTATAAAAGTATATTTTTATATTAAATTGATTTACTGAATAATTAAGTTGAATTGATAGAAAATATAAATATCACTACTTTTTTTGACAAAATTGAAATAATAAAATAATTTTCGTCTTTTTAAGATGAAATTAATAATAATTTTTATTTAGATTAGATTCTAACTTTCAATGAAGGTTACTTTAAAATCTATAGCTCAGATATGAAGTTGATTTACTAAATAAATTAACTGCCAATACCAAGAGTTAGATCAATGAGTCGGGTTATGTATGATGATTAGATTTATGTTTTATAAGGATAGGAAGGTATTGTTTTAATAGACATCTCAAGTAATACCTAAACCTTTATAAAATCCACATTTTATTTTGGTTAATTCATAAAAAAAGTAAATTTAAATGGGAAAAAATATTATTCCACCTATGCTTTTGATGAATAATAATCATTTTATGAATACTTTATTGACATAAAAAGAAATATTATATAAATTAGTGGAAAAGATTTTTTTTATAAAAATAATTAATAATATTATTTACCTTTTCTACCTTTAAAAAATTTCAAAAACTCTTAGAATATTTCAAAATATTACTTTGAAAGCAGTGAGGGTTTACTGCATTCAGCCCAAATTTAAAATAATAGATACTCCAAGCTTGATTTAGGTGATTATAAAGTTAATTATGCAACTTATATGAAAAGAAGTGCTAAATTTGGAAAATATTTTATTTTTAATTACCATACAGTATACTCCTTTGATATATTCAATGATAGCTTTTTATAAATTTTGATCTAAGACGTTTAGTTAAGTCAAATGGATTTATTTGATGAAATCTTTTTAATATCGAAATCAGATAATACAATTATTTTTATAAATATCTAAACTAACGTATAATATATCTTTCAAGATATGAAAGTTATTAGTGGATATGCTTATGATTATAATGAAAAAAATCTTTATATATATGGAAGTAGCATTTATGTTATTAACGCCTAGCTTACTCCCTAGAAAATTGTAGACCAAAATGGAGACTATATCCATATCGACTGTAGAAGCTTACAAAAAAAAATAATATGTTTATACTCTCTTTATAGTAGTAGCTATAATATTTTTTTATATGATAAAAAAGAAAAAACTACTCAATAATTTAAGATTTTATATGATGACATATAATTTATTACTGATGAAAAAAACTAAATCATCTTTATTTACAGTAGATATAATAAAATTAAAATCTATAACTTTGATGGAATTTTAAAATAAACAATTGAAGGAACTTAAGAAAGATGCTAACTTTACTCAAAAAAATATGTCTGCTCATATGCCTAATGTAAACAAAGAAATAAATTTTTATTTTAAGCTTTATTTTCAATATGAGAAAAACTTCTCATTAAATTAATTATTCATTTTAAAATCATTTTTATTTATTCCTAAAAACACAAATTATCTTATTTAGTAAAATAAATATTTAATTTTTTCTCCTAGAAAAGCTTGAAAAGCTCAAAGAATTATTTAATTTTTAAATTTATTTAAAAAATTAGATTTGACTTTAATAGATAGATAAAGCTTCGATTTTGTTTAACATGATATTAGAGATAGCTCTGGTGATATTATGTAACTAATATACATCGAATAGCTAAATTACATATTATTTAATACATATGATAGCTCGGACTAAATTTCTTTATACGATGTTTCTGCTTAATAAAAAATTTTTACTTTATCTGGAATTAAATATAACTCATTATACAATAAAAAAATTATTCAAGTATAATATGATTAAAGTTTGATTAGATATGTAATGTTTTTAGACGCAGAAGGAACATTTTATCTGTCTTCCATAGATCCTAAACTTCCATTTCAGAGCCTTGTTAAAATTAGTGAATTTACAGATGGATAAGAAAAAATACAAAAGTTTAGTTATGACGATATAACAAATGATGTTTTTATTTATTCTGACTAATAAATTTACAAATTTGATTTTAACTTATTGGGAAACTAGTATGAACCTATTCTAAACGAACCGCAAAATTTGTTTGTTTAAATATCTATTAATAGTATGCAGAATGATTTTCTTATTATCAACAAATATAATGTAATCCAAAGATATACAGAATAGAAAGTAAAATTTGAATTTGCTATAAGTAATGAAAATTAAATAGTAGAAATAAAATACAATTAAAGCAAAGATATCTTAATACTTGCTTTTTCAGATTCTATTTTGTTCTATTAATAATATTAATAAAACAGAAATAATAACTTAATTTCTAATATTTACAAGCTTGACATTATTTCATTTTAGCAGTTTATAACTGACAGTGTTGTTATTACTTGCGATTCAAAAATTTTACATTTAAATATTGAAAAAGGTGTTATCATCAAAGAAATTTAATATAATTCAACATAATTAGTCACTTCATTTACTTTTAATAGCAATTAAGATTTAATAATAATAGGGTTTAGTGATTGCTAACTGCTTTAATATAACTTGATTAGCTAATAATATTTTTTATATAACACCACTTAATAGGGTCCTTTGTAAACTTAGATAATAAAAATTTAACTGATTGAAAACTCAGATATATAACAATATGCTTATGCTATTTCTAATGGTGCAATATTAATAAAAATAGATATCCAAAATATAAATGTTATTTCATAAATAGACCTAAGACTTCTTGTCAACGAAGATTCTTAAATTACATTGGCAAATTTTTTGATTGATTTCACTTATCAAAGATATATTTTTAGTTTTAGTGGACAGAAGAAAGCTTATGTATGGAACTACTCAAACAATAAACAAGAATAAAATTTATTTTTACCTAAAATAAAAATTAATAGTTTTACTATAGAACAAAGCTTCATACTTATCTAATGCTCCTTTTAAATAAACTTTTATATCCTTGACACTAAAATTGAACTTTTAACAGCAATTAAAAAAGATTTTATTGCAGATAGAATAACTTTCTTCAAATTGATAACAAAAAACATAATAGCTATTTTATTCGTTGATAAATTCCAACTGCTCATAATAAATGGAACTAAATTCGATATTGTAGCTTAGTAAATTTATGGATATCCTCAATTTTTAAGCTATAAATTTGATTCTCAAAAAAATATAGTAAATATATTATGCTTACATTAATTTGGAATTGTTGAAAATAATTACAATTTAGATATTTTCAGTAAAGACTCAATATCAGGATGTTCTGCTTTGATTTCAAGTTAAGATAATCAATATATTTAATAAGAACTAACTTATATTTCGCCAAAATAAACAGAGGTTATAACAGTAAATGGAATTTCTTTGATCAATTAATAAAATTGGCAAAGTTAAGTCAACTTATAAATATCCAGCTCTAAAATATCAAATGTATTTCAATAAATTTCTTAATTAAAAAATAATCAATTTATCTTTTCACCATATGATATTTAAAATAATATTATAGCTCTTTAAAACAATACTTTTTAAAACCTTGGTCAAGAAATTTTACAGCTTGCTAATTTCAATTTCGACTTTTAAAATAATAAAAATTTATTTATCAACATCACTTAAAATAAATTTACCAAACAAATCATCTTTTAGAATATAACTATTTATTTAAAATATTTTAGCACAAACCAAATATATATCTCAAATATAGAAAAAGTAGTCTTTTAAGATATCAAAATATCTTATCTTGACCTATCAATATAAAATGATTTAAATTCATTAATATTTTTCTACAATGTATCATAGGTATTTATTTACAATCTTGAGGTCTCATACAATAGCTTTTATTAGGCATCTTAGTTACCAATATTTTAATTTTAATTAATAAAAAATATTCTCATAAAAGGAGTAAAATCAACAAAAAACACCAATCTAAATATTTTAATGAGTTTTTCTCAAATCTAAAATATAACACTCTAAAATTTAAAAATAAAAGAAAATAATTAAAATATCTAAATTGACTAATTTAATGGAATCTTTTCCTTTTATGGCTGCTAAAATATAAAGATTGTTAACTGTTTATTTTAATCTAATAATCAACTTCTTCTTATATTTACCACAAAATAATATATATTTGAAAAGCAAAAAGTTGAATTAGAAGATGATCTAATGGTTTTTGAAAATTTTACAGTCAAAAAAAATCTATTTTTGAATAGTAAAATCATGCTCATTTAAAGCTCATTTGTTTAATTTAATAATGTTACTTCAAGTTATAATGAAGGTAATATTTTTCTTGGGTAATCTTAAACAGTTTTAATATAAAAAAGCAACTTTAATGCTAATAAAGCATAAAATGGAGGAGCAATTTAATTTTTTGATATTCAAACAAAAATATAATTCTAAGAAACTTAATTTTAACAAAACTCTGCTTTGAGCAGTGGAGGGGCTCTATATTTTGAGAATATAATTAAATGTTAAGTAATATTTGATAGGGCTACAATTATTAAATTCAATAGAGCCTTGATTGGAGGAGGATTAAGGATTGTTTAGACTGATTAAAATAAACTATAATTACCTCTTTTCTTCCCATTTTCGTATAATGTGCTTGAAAATATAGCAGAAATATATGGAAACGATAGTGCGTCATATCTCTAAAATATCATCATTAAAAATAACAATTAAATTAATGAATATTCGTTTACATTTTACAAAAATTTAATAAATGCCCCAAATAATTTTTACAATGAATATTAAAGATATGCTTAAATACAATAATTTAGAAGTGGAGGTCTTATTGATTTCAGAATATATATTGTTGATGAGTAAAATAGATATTTAAGCTTCTCAAAAGAAAAGCTAAAATAAGGCAATTATCCAGAAGATATAGTCTTTGAGCTTAGAAATTTATAAATTTCAATAAATTAACTAGATTCTAATAAAAACTTAATAAATGGATAGCAAATTATTGATTTTAATCAATATGAAACTATAGATTAAACATTCTAATTAAACAATTTGCAAATACTAGGACCTCTTAAATCAGTTCAATATTTTTCAATAAATTCAACAATTTATAGAAATTCTGTTAATAAATTACCAGTTCTTTTATCAATAGAATTCAGAAAATGCTAAATCGGGGAGATAATTTAAAATATAAATACCTTATAAATTTGCAATCCGTGCTTGAATGGTACTTATCAGCTAAGTGATCCATAAACACTTTATCAATAATCTTTACAACAAAAGAAAGATATTAATCGATGCTATAATTGTCCTGAATCTGCAATTTGGTGTTAAGGAGATAATATAAAATTAAAAAATGGATACTGGAGGAAAAGCAATTCTACAGATGAGATTATAGCATGTAATTCAATGATAAACTCATGTTAAGCTGAAAATCCTAATAGCATTAATTATTGCTCAAATGGTTACATAGGCCCTATTTGTGAGTAATGCGATATTTTAGGTGATGTTTGGAAAGGCTCTCGCTATTCATAATCTCTTTCAAAAGGAATTTGTCAAAAATGTGTTGAAGATTCAAAATTATGGATTTACTAAATTTTAAAAATAATAATTTTAGAACTTTATTTTATATATGTTTTAGGAGTTTTCATCAAAAAATTTAAATATTCACAAACATGTTACTATCTTAGAATATTAAAGATCCTCCCTATCAGCAGTAATAGCATATAGGACTACTCTGGATTCTATATAAAAATTATTCTTAACTATTATTAATTATCTACTCTATTGATAGCATAGCCCAAGATTATTTCAATTCATTTTAATTTGTTAAACAACATAATTGGTTCTGGTGATGTGCAAGTTTCGTTAGCATTAGACTGTCTTATTAGTGAAAATACTATTGATAAGATAGGAAGGATATTATTTTATACTTAAATTTAATTTTTGGTTCCTGTAGTAGCACTTGCACTTATTCCAATAACTCTACATTATTATAAAGATTTTACTAAAGAAAAGCTGAGATCATACCACATTTATTTGCTTTTTCATATAGTGTTTATATTTTTCTAGATTAGCTAGATATCGTATTTTACAAAAGCACTTACTTGCAAACAAGTAGGAAATTAGCTTTACAACCCAATAGATTTATAAATTGACTGTTATGACTCTGATATAGTTAAATATTTATATCCTTTCTCTGTGACGGTATTAAGTTTTTGGACTCTCCTTCCATTAGTATTTCTTAGGCTGTTAAATTTAAGAAAGAAAAAATTAGATTAATGTTTAAATAAATATAAATATGGTTATTACTATGGAGAACTAAAGCATAGCCATTACTATTGGGAATTTGTTAGAATTTACCTAAAGATTGCTATAATTTATGTATACATTTTATTATAAAATAACAACTAGACTATTGCTACACTTACAATTACACTATTGTTATGCTATTACATTAAAATAGTATCATAAAACAATCCTTTTATTTCAATCAACATATAGAATTGTGAAATAGCAGCTCTTACTCTTATTATCTTAAAAATGTATATATAGTTTATATAAATTTAAAATTCATAAGCTCAAATATATACAGAAATTGCTCAAATCATAGTAGACTATTTCTTCTTTTTTTGCTACTTATTGATTGTGATAGGAATTATGATTTGCAACTCGTCGAATAAATGTGTAATTTTTATTAAAAACTAGTTATTAAAAATTATGCCTTCGAAGTTCAAATAGTTAGTTAATGCAAATAAAGTTTCATTTTAAGCTTATTTGAAATGGAAATAAGTTTATAAGAAAATTTTATAAAATTATAAATTCTTGACAAAATTTAAAAACTATTAAATAAAGTAGTAGAAATAAATCTAATAAATAAAAACTCATTTAAAGATATTAAATTAATAAAAAATTAATAAAAAAGAAGTATTGTTTTAAAATTAAGTTTTAAAAAATGATGATTGCTATATCTCATTTACAAAACCTTAAGGTATGGAGTCTTGCCAAGCATTTTTATGAGAAAATAGATATATTTTATTAAGTGTGAAGATATATATGCATATATGTAATGTAATACAATATTTTTTTAATTTTTTGTTTGAATGCAATTTATCTAATCATTATTTCTTATAAAATTGAAATCAATATATATATTATCTTGTTATCTTCAATTTCTTTAATAATTATATTCTCCTCATACAATACCCCGAAAAAAAGATATCTTAAATGACTCCCTCTTTTTCCTAAAATTTTTTAATTTCCGAGTTTCAAATATCTTATAATTTTTTCAATCAAAGTCTACATCTTTCTATTTTCTTCTTTATTTAGAGACAGATTTAGCAATTTTGAGAAACTTTTATTATCAAGATTATTTTTAAAGTAAAAACTGATGATTTTGCTGAATTTCTTGATATAGATATTTGGCATGAAGTTATTCTTGATTTTTGCCTCAATACAAATATTTTTGAAAAGTAATAAAAATAAATATAGAAATATAATTATATAACTCTATTGTTTATAATTAATAGGATTATTTATTAAAATAATTCTCAAAAGAATTAAATTTTTGGTGATTAAATAAACCATCATTTCCATTTTTAAGTAATTTAGCCAGAAATTATTTTAGTTTACCTGCTAGCAGTTTTGAATGTGAAAGATTTTTCTCAACTATGAGAAACTTTATCACAAAAAAGCAGAACAAACTAAGTAAAGCTTCTTTTGTATAACTATTAATTACAGATATTTCAAATAAAGTAACCCTTGTATTTTTTTTCTGTATTTTTAAATGTCATAATCTATATGTATTTTACATTATTTTTGCTGATATACAACCCCTCTCCCCCTTACACAACTGAAACTTTTCAGCTTTTTTTTTAGGATTTAATTACTCATTTAAATTGTGGGTTTTAATTAAAATAAATTAGCGCTAATTAAGGAAAACTTACAAGTAAGCAATTCAATGACACCCAATCATTTATTTATTATTTCGATACTAAATCATAATAGATTTGAACAATAATTATCTTAGATTTTTAGTAGAATATCAAAAATTTTCTGAAAAAAATTGAAAATAATTTATTTATTTGAATAAATTTGGTACTTTATTTTGATTAATTAATTAATTAATTATTATTTAATTAAATAACTATACCTTAAGTTAAAATCAAATATAAAGCATTTATTAAAATATGAGTAAATAAGAAATTCAACATTTCAGACTTTTATAAAATGTTATTTATATTCTTAGATTTACAAGACTAAAGTTATATTTTATAATATTAAAAGTTTCTAAATTCTTCACTTATAGACCATACTAACTTAGACATAAATCTATAGTAAAATTTATTTATTATTTAAATTTTAATGAAACTTAAATCTTCCAAAATCAAAATTCTACTTATTAATTTTTAATTGTATTAATAAATGTTTTATTATTAAATTATTTATTTTATTTTACAAAATATTCTAATTATAGTAACAAGAAAATTAATTTTAAAGATGTTTCTGATTTAAGTTCTGCTTTAGTAAAATGTACTAACCTTTCAGTTCTGAAGCTTAATTTAGAGTATATTTAATTTAATTTATTGTATTAGGCTAAAATATGGAATGTAGATAAATATTAATTATCATTTAATTTATTTTTCTAATTTAACATAAAATAATAATTTTTTATTTTGATAGCTTTTTTAACTTTTTGAACATTTTAATTTATTTCTAAAGATTTAATAAACTTTGTCATCAGAGCGCATCAAATTTAGGATAAATGCTATCAAAATGTTCTTAACTCTCATTTTTAGAACTTAATTTATAGTAAATTTTTAATTATTTAAGCAATTTATTTAATTTTTAGTAGAAATATTAGTTATCTCATCATGATCACTTTTGTTTATTAATTTTTCAATTTTATTCAGTTAATTATTGTGAAAATAGTCTTTTATTTTAAGTTTTTAATCTTGATATTTTTTTGATATTGACGATTTATTGTTTAACTTTTGAAAAGGAAGAATTAAATTTAAGACTTGGGATTATCAAATTTAGTAGAAGGAATAGCTAAACTCACAAATCTTTCTACCTTGAATATGATTTTAGGGTACTTATTTCGAAAGTTTATATTAAACTCACATTTCAAATAAATAGTATAAATTTTAAACTAAAAATATCTCATTTTAAAATTTTTGAAACAATACAAAAAACATTACTTTTATCAGTATTACTTTTAACTAAATAAAACATTTTTTTTCTTAATTGTTAAATTTAAAAGATAGACTTAAATTAGTGACTATGGATTATCAAATTTAGGTACTTAATTAGGAAAATGCACTAATCTATCTGTCCTTAAACTGACTTTAACGTAAATTATACTACAATATTTTAAATTTAATTTATTTACTGATATTTATTATAATTAAATTTTTTAATTAATTTTAAAAGTGGAAATAATATAAGAGATATCGGAATTTCAGGCTTAGGTTTTGGATTAGCAAATTGCATATTACTTACTCAATTAAAAATTTGTTTAGCGTAAAATCAATAGATTAGCATCTTATTAGAATTTGTCTTTAAATTACAATTTTTTACTTTTTTTTATTTTTTTAATTTTTTACATTTAGAATTCAATAAATAATTTGATTAATATTAAAAGATTGAATAAAATTGAATCTTTTGGCACATCTGATTTTGCTTGTGGATTAACAAAATGCACAAATATTTCGACTTTGGAGCTAAATTTGCAGTAAGTATTTATTTTTTAAATGAAAAAAATTATAATTTTTAATGATTGCTTTTATCAAAAATCATTAAATAATTGTTTTACAATTTTAAATACCTATTTTTAATAAAATAATGATATTATCATTTATTTTAAAAATTAACTCTAAATTTATTAAATATATTTAAAAGTGGAAATAACATTTAAGATAAAGGAACATAGGGCTTGAGCTCAGAAATAGCTAAATGCAGTAATCTATCACATTTAAAACTCAATTTAGCGTAAAACTTATTTATTTAATACTATTATAAAAATTTATTTATTTTTAATTTAATTTCTAAAAAATATTTGTTAAAATTTATAATTTAATTAAAGTTTCAATAATATCTTTCAAGCTGGTGCTTCAGATTTAGGATAAGGATTATCAAAATTAACAAATCTATCAACTCTAATACTTAATTTAGAGTACTAAAAATTAAATTTTATTTTATCAAGAATTTAATTTACAAAATATTTAATTTTTTTCTTTACAATTATATTAAATTTATTTAATTAAAAATTAAGTTAGAATAAAATTCATAATGCAGGCTTGTCAGAATTATGTTCAGGATTAGAAAAATGCATCAACCTTTCTAATTTTGTAATCAAATTGGCGTAAACTAATACATTAACTTGACGTTTTCTAAAAAAAATTTTAATTGCTCATTTTAGAATTAAATAAAAAAATTTATTTATCTAAATTTATGTATTTTCTTTACTTTTAAAATTATGATCAAGTTTTAATTTTAAAGAATTGTCTATTTTTAAATATATTTAATACTTTTAAAAGAGTAAATGAGATTAGTGATTAGGGTGCTTCTAACTTAGGTTTACTAATGTCGAAATTAATTCATATCTAAAATTTAGAAATAGATTTGTTGTAATTTAGTTTTTACTTTTTAGTTTTAGATAAAGAAAAAATAATTTAATATTTACTTTAAAATATACATTAAGAAAATACAAAAAAACTTTCACATAATGAACAAAATAGTTTTTTGAAATAAATTTAGCATAATTATATATTTTTTAACTTAGATTTAATTAAATTGGTGAATAAGGTGTTTCTGATTTAATGTCTGGATTAGTCTAATGTACCAAGCTATAGCATCTACTAATTGATTTAGGGTAAAATAATATATTGTATTTTATAAGCTAAGGTAGTTTATGTTTAAATAATATAAATTTGAACTTATTTTATATCTACCAAATTTATTTTAAGCATTTTTATTGTAAATTTTATTACATTTTTTTTAAATTTGTTTTATGAAATTAAAATCTAAGTGAAAATAGAATTCGTGATACAAGTGTTCTTTTATTAGGTCAATATTTACCTAAATTTGTTTATCTTTAAACTCTGTATCTTGATTTAAGGTAAATTAAACTTTAAAAAACTGAATTTAATGGTTAAATTTAAGGATAAGATAACATAAAAAATTATTGTATTAAATGATATCATTAATATCTTAATAATATTTGTAAAAATTATTTTTAATTAATGAAGGGGAAACAAGATTTCAAAAGCTTCCATTAAATAGTTTGAATCTCATATGTTTAAAATAATCAGGCTAGCTTGTTATTATCTTTATTATAAACGAGTTCAATCAGAAAGTGATTCAGAAGAGAATTTAGAAGATGAAGATGAAGATGAAGAAGAAGAAGAAGAAGAAGAAGAAGAAAAAGATAGTGAAGAAAATGAAGAATAGGTATAAAGTGAAGAAGAAATTGAAAAATATGATAGCTAAGAAGAATATGATGATGGAAGTCTTAAAAAAATTGAAGTAATAGGAAAAAAAGACAATTATGATGAAGTATTGTAGAATAAAAGATGCTTAATGTATGTTGCTAATAAATTTTAAAACGATTTACCATAAAATGATATTTTTTAATATTAGGGATGAGGAAAGTAGTTAATCGAATTAATTAGATGATATTTTCTAGTAATATAAAATTAAATATTTTTAAAAGTAACTCATAAATATTTCAAAATAAATTAATAAATAGTGATTGATTGATTACAATTGGCGACTTACTTAATATCTTCAAATATAAGATAATAAATAAATATTGAAAATACTATATTGAAGAAGATTTTTTAAGATCAACTAATTAGTGTCATTTAAGTTGCAATTATTTATTTTTATTTAACATATTTTGATAATTATTGTATTAAAATAAAATAAAAAATATTAGAAAATATATTTTTTTGGGTAAACTAAATAAATATCGATCAATAAATTTCATTTTCAATAAATATAAATACATAGATATAAATTAAAATGGTGATTCTATATTAAAAATTTTTAAGTTTTAATTTTGATAATTAAATAAATTATAAAAAAAATCAAATCTATTTAAATCTTCAAAAAACAGAAAGAAAAAAAAATTTATTTTTAAAGTAATAAAAAAATATTGTTATTATGATAAAAATTTAAGTAATTTGATAAAATGACCAAAAAGAGACAGTAAAGGCTTAATTTTCTTTTAAATATTAATAATTCTGTTAACAGTAATTTAAAAAAAAAAATAATTTTTTATAATTTTTTATATTTAGTTTTTTAGTTTTGGATGATTTGAAATATAAAATATTGATTGATAGTCTAATTAAAGATTTTGATTTAGATTCATCAAATATTTCTTTTGTGGTAAATTTAATAGTTCTTTAAATCGAGGAACTGCAAAAGTATTATTTATATTTGACTGTAGAAGATATTTTTTAGTTATTAAAAATTATTGTTTAAAAGAGATTACATATTAATTAGTGCGTTTAAATACGATTAATTTTCGTTAAAAATGTATGTAATACTAGATATTGTCAACATAAGGTGGAGATTTAGAATAGGTATCCCTGATAAGTATATTAAATTAATTAATTAGTTCATATAAAAATGAGTTAAAAATTTATGTAATACTAGATATTTTCAAACATAAGGATGCGATTTAGAATAGGTATTCCTGATAGTTTTATTAATTAAATTAATTAGGGTTAAAAATTGTCATACATAAGGAGGTGATTTACATACAATAGGTAATCCTGATAAGCTTATTGATTATATTAGCTATATTAATTTAAAACTCTATCAAGATATTATTATATTTAAATCATATTATTAATTAGGAAATATCAATATACAAAGTATAAGTACTTTTCAAAGAAGATACAAGCTTGCTAAATAACTAAATTTCTTTCTTCTAGAACATCAATGATAGATTATCTTATAATAATAGCTAAATGTATGTTTTTAATGACTTGGTTTTTTCTTATTCTATTTGCCAATATCTTAATGTTAAGTGGAAAATCGCGTTTTAAAAATAATTGGCTTGTAAATTCGCTTTGCATTTTAGCTTCTTTTATTCACACATCTTCTAGTATTCTACTAAAAGTTTAAATATGTTATTTGTTTGCTCAGTAACAGAGTTTATTAGTTTTGATCATGGAACTACCTCTCTTGATTGTTGCAGTTTTTAACTATATTTAAATTAAAAATTTTTACTTGACTATGATGAGTTGGGCTTTACATTATATTCAATACGATATTTTTACTATATCACCTAGATGTTATCCTTAAAATCTTGTAATTTTATATACGGGATCAGGTTTTCTCTACCAACAGGTCTGGATTATGTTTATGATAAAGGTTTATTAAACTTTAATCTATGTAATTATATTACTGAGCGGTAGGACTAGTAATGAAAGCGATGATGATGAAATAATTCTTACATTTGCTATTGTAAGCTGCTCTATCTTTTTAATTTAGTTGTATTTTAATTATGTTTACAAACAAACTTTCGATATTCTTTCCTATCAGAAGCTAAAGAAATTGATATATAATGAAAAGACAAAAAAGTAAATAGCTGAATTGTAGAATGTCAAAACAATTTACATTTGCTTTGATTAACAAAATGCTAGTGATCAAGAGTGCCAAGAACTCATATAGGCTTGCTTTTACTAATTCTAAAATTGCGAAATAATTTCAAATTTTATATAAAGAATTGAGTCAAAGAATGGGCACTAAAAAATTGAAATAATAGAAAGCAACTATTTAAATCTAGTCGAAAAGAGTCTTTATAAATCTTAGTTTGCTAACAAAATAAAAAAAATTAATTTTTTTAATTAATTTGATGCAAATTAGCTAACTTAAGCTTTAATTAGTAGTGGAAATATTGTTAATTTTAAATTAAAACATTTTAATTAAAATCAAGTTCAGAATGAACAAAAATTAGCTATTGAATATCTTAAAATAGTCAAAAATTATGAAGTTTTTCAATTAAGTGTTTTAGTATACTATAAACACATTTCTTAATATTAAACATACAATCCAAATTTGATCCTTGATTTGTATCTTTGAATTATCAAAATTTTTATATTATTTTTAAGTAATTCATAATTGTTGAGATGGATGGTATATAGCAAGATGCCATTCAAAAATTCCGTAGTTTGCATGAGACTTATTATGAAATAGATTTTTATATTTTATAATAGAATTATAATTAATTATAATTTAATTTATTATAATTTCAAAAATAATAATTTTTTTACATCAAAAATTTTAAATTTAGTTAAATTTGAAATAATTATTTTCCTAATATCCTTAAATATGAGTATATTTTTAAATTTATATTTGTTATTTTTATATCTGAAAAAAATTAAAAATAATTTATTTCTTTTAATAAAATTGGTGTTTTGATTAATTAACAATTATTCAATACCTTAAGTTAAAATCAAATATAAAGCATTTATTAAAATATGAGTAAATAAGAAATTCAACATTTCAGACTCTTAAAAAAGGTTATTGTCATTCTTAGATTTTAAAGACTAAAATTATATTTTATTATATTAAAAGTTTCTAAATTCTTCACTAACAGACCATACTAACTTAGACATAAATCTTTAGTAATTATTTATTATTTCTTTTATTATAATTTAAATTTTAATGAAACAAACTTAAATCTTCCTAAATCCAAATAACTAACTATTTATTAATTTTTTAATTTTATTAATAAAGGTTTTATTATTAAATTATTTATTTTATTTTACAATATATTCTAATTACAGTAACAAGAAAATTAATTTTAAAGATGTTTCTGATTTAAGTTCTGCTTTAGTAAAATGCACTAACCTTTCAGTGCTGAAGCTTAATTTAGAGTATATTTAATTTAATTTATTGTATTAGGCTAGAATATGAAATGTAGATAAATATTAATTATTATTTAATTTATTTTTCTATTTTAACATTTAATAATACAATTTTATTTTGATAGCTTTTTTAAATGAACATTTTAATTTATTCCTAAAGATTTAATAAACTTTGTCATCAGAGCGCATCAAATTTAGGATAAATGCTATCAAAATGTTCTTAACTCTCATTTTTAGAACTTAATTTATAGTAAATTTTTAATTATTTATTAATTATTAAAAAAATTTATTTAATTTTTAGTCAGTTATCTCATCATAATCATTTTCGCTTATTTTTTTTTTTTCAAATTCAATTAATTATTATGGAAATAGTCTTTTATTTTAAGTTTTTAATCTTGATATTTTTTGATATTGATGATTTATTGTTAAACTTTTGAAAAGGTAGAATTAAATTTAAGACTTGGGATTATCAAATTTAGTAGAAGGAATAGCTAAACTCACAAACCTTTCTACCTTGAAAATGATTTTAGGGTACTTATTTAGATGATTTATATTAAACTCACATTTCAAATAAATAGCATAAATTTTAAATAATGATGGTAAAAAGCTCTTTGAGAGTTAATCGTTACAAAATATTCACTTGGCTTAATTTTAAACTAAAAATATCTGATTTTTAAATTTTAGAAACAATAAAAAATAAACATTACTTTTATCAGTATTACTTTTAACTAAATAAAACATTTTTTTTCTTAATTGTTTTATTTAAAAGATAGACTTAAATTAGTGACTATGGACTATCAAATTTAGGTACTTAATTAGGAAAATGCACTAATCTATCTGTACTTAAACTCACTTTAACGTAAGTTACATACAATATTTTAAATTTAATTTATTTACTGATATTTATTATAATTAAATTTTTTAATTAATTTTAAAAGTGGAAATAATATAAGAGATATCGGAATTACAGGCTTAGGTTTTGGACTAGCAAATTGCATATTACTTACTCAATTAAAAATTTGTTTAGCGTAAAATCAATAGATTAACATCTATTATTAGAATTTGTCTTTAAATTACAATTTTTTACTATATTTTATTTTTTAAATTTTTTACATTTAGAATTCAATAAATAATTTGATTAATATTAAAAGATTGAATAAAATTGAATCTTTTGGCACATTTGATTTTGCTTGTGGATTAACAAAATGCACAAATATTTCGACTTTGGAGCTTAACTTGCAGTAAGTATTTATTTTTAAAAAGAAAAAAATTATAATTTCTAATTTTTATCTAAAATCGTTAAATAAAATAATTGTTTTAAAGTATTAAATACCTATTTTTAATAAAATAATGACATTATCATATATTTAAAAAATTAACTCTAAATTTATTAAATATATTTAAAAGTGGAAATAGCATTTAAGATAAAGGAACATAAGGCTTGAGCTCAGAAATAGCAAAATGCATTAATCTATCACATTTAAAACTCAATTTAGCGTAAAAATTATTTATTTAATACTATTATAAAAATTTCTTTATTTTAAGTTTAATTTCTAAAAAATTTTGTTAATATTTATAATTTTAATTAAAGTTTCAATAATATCTTTCAAGCTGGTGCTGCAGATTTAGGATAAGGATTATCAAAATTAACGAATCTATCAACTCTAAAACTTAATTTGGAGTACTATATTTATTATATTTATTTAAATTTTATTTTATCAAGAATTTAATTTACAAAATATTTAATTTTTTTTTAACAAGTGTTTAAAATTTATTTTATTAAAAATTAAGTTAGAATAAAATTCATAATGCAGGCTTGTCAGAATTATGTTCAGGATTAGAAAAATGCATCAACCTTTCTAATTTTGTAATCAAATTGGCGTAAACTAATACATTAACTTTACATTTTCTACAAAAAAACTTTAATTGATCATTTTATAATGAAAAAAAAAAATTTATTTGTCTAAATTTATGATTTTCTTTACTTCTAAAATTATGATCAAGTTTTAATTTTAAAGAATTGTCTACTTTTAAATAAATTTAATATTTTTAAAAGAGTAAATAAGATTAGTGATAAGGGTGCTTCTAAATTAGGTTAACTAATGTCGAAATTAATTCATATCTAAAATTTAGAAATAGATTTGTTGTAATTTTAGTTTATTATTTTATTAGTTTTAGATAAAGATATAAAGATAAAAATAATTTAATATTTAATTTAAAATATAAATTAAGAAAATACAAAAAACTTTCACAAAATGAATAAATAGTTATTTGAAATAAATTTAGCATAATTATATATTTTTTAACTTAGACTTAATTATATTGGTGAAAAAGGTGTTTCTGATTTAATGTCTGGATTAATCTAAATTACCAAGCTATAGCATCTACGAATTGATTTAGGGTAAAATAATATATTCTATTTTATAAGCTAAGGTAGTATATATTTAAATAATATAAATTTGAACTTATTTTATGTCTGTCTACCAAATTTATTTTAAGCATTTTTATCTTAAATTATATTAAATTATTTTTTAATTTTTTTTATGAAATTAAAATCTAAGTGAAAATAGAATTCGTGATACAAGTGTTCAATTATTAGGCCAATATTTACTAAAATTTGTTTATCTTTAAACTCTGTATCTTGATTTAAGGTAAATTAAACTTTGCAAAAACCGAATTTAATGATTTAAATTTAAGGATAAGATATCATAAAAAATTATTGTTTTCAATGATATCATTAATATCCTAATAATATATGTAAAAATATTTTTAATTAATCAAGGGGAAACAAGATTTCAAAAGCTTCTATTAAATAGTTTGAGTCTCATATGTTTAAAATAATCAGGCTAGCTTATTATTAGCTTTATTATAAACGTGTTCTACCATAAAGTGATTAAGAATAGCGTTTAGAAGAAGAAGAAGAATTAAGTGATGAACAAGAAGAAGAAGAGGAAGAAAATGAATAATAAGTATATAGTGAAGAAGAAATTGTAAAATATGATAGCTAAGAAGAATATGAATATGAAAGTCTTAAAGAAATTGAAGAAATAGGAAAAAATGACAAATATGATGAAGTATTGTAAAATAAAAGATGTTAAATGTAGGTTATTAATAAATTAGAAGTTAAAACGATTTACCATAAAATGATATTTTTTAATATTAGGGATGAGGAAAATAGTTAATCCAATTAATTAGATGATATTTTCTAGTAATATAAAATTAAATATTTTTTAAAGTAACTCATAAATATTTTAAAATAAATTAATAAATAGTGATTGATTGATTGATTAAAATTGGCCACTTACTTTCTATCTTCAAATATATGATAATAAATAAATATTGAAAATACTTTATTGAAGAAGATTTTTTACTAATTAGTGTCATTTAAGTTGTAATTATATATTTTATTTAATATATTTTGATAATTATTGTTGGTTGGTTGGTGTATTAAAATAAAATAAAAAATATTAGAAAATATATTTTTTTTTGAGTAAACTAAATAAATAAATTTTATCTTCAATAAATATAAATGCATAGATAGATATAAATTAAAATGGAGATTCTATGTTAAAAATTAATTTTAAGTATTAATTTTGATAAATTTCTTGTTTTAATGATAACCCGCATAAATTTGAAAAATATTGAATATTGTATTTGAACACTTTTAAACTATATATATTATTATATTATATTAAATTTATGAATTTTTTTAAATAGTGATTTTACTTACTTAATTTTTCATAAATATTTTAATATATTTTTTCATTTTAAAGTAAACATAATCCAGGCCAGGTATTAAAAAGTTCATCTTATTTTAATACCTGGATTAGCAATATTTGAAACACAAGGTTTATTTCTTCCAATTAAATAGCTAATTTTTTATTAGCTGATAATAAATTTCTTTCAAGATATTTATTTATTTATTTCTAATAACTTTTATTACATCAGCGCTAAATTTAATTTATTATTTCAAATTAAAATGGACTATGAATAATTCACTTAAAAATTTGAGGAAATGGAGGCTTAAATGGGTCCGCTATCAGCTTTTACTAATTATCAACTATAAAATGCAATATCTTGGGGATTCATATGGAGCTTGACTTATATACCTATTCAAATTACTAATTTTATAGATACATATATTGATTATTTATCAGACAGATCTATTTACAAATGGATAGCTTATATTTTCATTTATTTAGTATTACTAATTGGAGCTTATATAATTTTCCACTTTGAATTAAAAAAGCTTAACCATTAGTTCTTAGAGTAAAACTCAATTCTAGAAATTCTAATTCTCTACTTATTCCCTTTTTGCCCACTTTATGTAGTTTTCTATGTGACTATCTTTGAAATGATACTGAGAACTTGTAAGTACTACCTGAATATCCTCTTTCATTGGCTCTCTTCGATTTTAATGATGATTACATTTTACATAATGATGTGTCATATAAATTAAAACCTATTCTTTATTAACATAATTTCAATTGACCTCTTTTCTATTTTGGTTGCTTATGATAATGGTAAAATAATTAACCCTATGAATAATAAAGAGTATATCTTAATGGCTTTAGGAATTTACTTATTGTTTTATGGTTTTTTATGGCTATTTAACATCGGGCTAATGAAACAACTCTATTCATTCTTATTGTTCTTAGTTTAAGTTGTGTTAATTCACTTCTAGTTTAAGAAATAAATATATCCTTTATATGGAAATACTCCTATACATATATTTTTACTTAACAAAGTAGTTCCCTTCACACTAAATATTATAATTTCTCTTAATGCTTTTAAATGAATGGAGCAAATTAATTTGATTAAAAAATACTTAATATTCTTTGTAAGATATTACTTTAGATTTAAATACTAAATTAAAATATATTATTTAAGCTAAAATATAAACAATTTTAAAATATTAGTACTATAATCTATTTATTTATTTCAGAAATTTACTTATATTTTGAGTTAAATTTTCTAACTAATGATTAATAAACTACTTTAAATATTGCCAACTATGTTGAAATAGATGGCAAAATTTCAAATGCTTTTATGTTTTTAAGTTTAATTTATTCTTACTACAACTTCATTCTTTTTTTTATATTATTTCTATCAAATTTTAACAAATTTTTAGAAATATTTAATGCATTTATTCAAATTTTTATTGCAAAGTTATTTTTTATTTAAAATATTTTTTTTTTCATAACTCTTTATTTTAAAATAAACTTGGTGATAAAAATTAATTTAACAAAGGAAATAAACAATGGTATATACAAATTTCTAATTGAAAGTTATTAATTAACTAAATATAATATTTTTTAATTAGCATCTCAAAAATATTTTTTATCTGCAATTTTTTATCTATATTAATTTGCTTAACTACTTAATGCTCTGCTGTGACCTGGTTTATCCTTTTATAATATTAAAGTATTAAATTATTTAAAACTCGGATTTATTTAATATACTGTAAATGTTGAACTGTGAGCTGTTGTACTTGAAGGTCTAGTATAAATAGAATTTTTTGTAGAGTATGGTTAGCTAAATAAGTTATTTCTAACTGAATTAACATAAGAATTAGTTGTTGAATTTGTGTAATTATTATATGTATTTGGGCAAGTATTTAAAGTTTTATACTGTCTTGAGAAATCTAACTCTGTGTTAACATTTAAGTCTTTTTTAGCTAATGGGTTTGGAGGATGCTTGCTCATAATTTACTCCATCAAAGGGTTTTGTTTATTTAGCTATCTTTTGTTATATTTATCAAGTATTTCATCTACAAAGTTTTAATTTTAAATATTATTGATCTAAGACAAAGTGTTGTTAAGTGTACTAGAAGTGTTATTAAAAATATTTCCTGTTTAATTTAACTTTGAATTGATTGTTGTATTATGTTAATCAATTGCTGAAAAATCAGATTGATTAAGAGGACTAAATGACACAGTTTAATTTTTATTTTTGAGCATTTTGCTTGGTGTTTCGTCTTTCATGACTATATTATAGCTTTCACTAACTCCAGATGAATTGTTATCAATGTCATTTCTATTAAATATATTGTATTTTAGAATATATATTTTTAAAAATAAAGAGTTGATTTACTAATAATTTTTATTTTTCAAAGTTATAATTTATGAGTTGATATCAGATAAATTATTTCTATTAGTTGATTTATCTAAAGCACTCTCATCATATGACTAAAAAATTTATTATTTACACATTAAATTAAGATTCTAAAATTTAATTTGTTTTAATTATTTTACCTTCAAAAAGTTTAAATCTTTGTACTGTTTAGTTTCTATTTTGGATTCATAGCTGGCTAGCTTTTTTAAAAGTTCTTCAATCTTCATGTCATATGTTCTTTTATTCATTTATAGATCCATATTCAAAAACTCCAACCTCTTTTCAAGTTCTCTTTGTTTTTTTGTCTTTCTTTCAAGTCTTATTAATAAATTTTTGTTAACTTCTCTCTCATAATTCAATTTCTCATGGTATTCATCTCTTTCCATTTTAGTTCTTTCATATTTTAATTTAAGTTACTTATACTTTATCTCATAAATATCACCTCTTTCTTCATTAACGCTTTAGTCCTATTGTTTGTTTATATTTCCCTTAAAAAACTGACAATTTAATGTTTGTTGTTATTATTATTCATAATTATGTTATTGCTAGGTGGAGTAACTTCTTTCTCTTTTTTTTATTAAATTAAAATTTAAATTACAAAAAAAATTTTTTTTGGTAAATATTTTATAAATATAAATAAAATTTAAACCTCGTGAAATTAGCTGTTTGGAGGTGTTTTGTATTTTATGCTTATGGGTGGAAATAATTATTGAGCTAGATAGTTCCTTGTAGAGAAGAGTCTTTAGAGTTAGAGGGTTGAATAGGTTTATTGTATGTAATTAAAGAAGTGCCTTTTGTTTATTATTTGCTTGTAGGCTTTTAAACAGAACTAGGCTTTGATTACTTTGAATCTGAAATAAAATTGGAATAATCGATTGGCTCATAAATTTAAGAATCATCAAAAGAAAGTTGATTTGGAGAAGGGTTATTAGTTTTTTTGTGAGATGAATATTATTATTACTTATACTATTGTTTTAAACTCTTATTCCCTGTATACGTATTCTCTTTATTTGAGATAGGGGATTATTCTCTTGACAGATAGCTTTCATCTTGGTCAATAAAGTTTCTCCCTGTATTTGAATATTTAGATTATGAATTTTGATCATGATAAGTTTCAAATTACTCCATTCCATATTCTACTCTAGACTTTTTTCCAGTAGAATGTTTTTGATTAGGAGTATTAGAGCCATCATTATTGCTCAAGTCATAATTAGAGTTATCCTGATTTTCATCAATCCTACTAATATTAATATCTTAATTGTCATTATAATAGTTATCTTGATAATTTTAATAAGATTCTTTATAATTCTTCTAATCAGCAATAAGATTTTACTAATCCTAGCTTTTTAGGAAATTTACTTCTTTAGCTGGTTTTTTTTCTTAAAACGATTACTCTGAATAAACTCTTGAGTTATCTTATTATTATGATTAAGCTTTCTACTCATTATACTATTAATAGTAATTTAATTACTGCTTACTTTGTAGGCTTTATTAATTTTAGTAATTGCTATTATTTTAAGCGAAATTAGAAGTACTTTATCTAACCTTGCTATTTAAATAATCTGTAGTATTGTTTTAATTATTTTGTTATTAAGTAGCTACATCCTCAAAGTAGGGAGTATCACTCATCCTTCTTAATATATCCATCTAAGCTTCGTTTTTATATTAAATACTGTTTGAACCTTATATCTAACTACTATTTAAGTAATCATTTCCAGATCTTTTTGATGATATTACATTTTTCGATTACTTACTATTTTCATAGCTACTTGCTTCTTATTGTTGATGAATCCAATTTTCACCCATAGCAAAAACAAAATTTGCACCACAATAAAGTCTTTTGACATTTTTGTCTTTTATTTTATCAACTTAAATAGGCTCTAATGCTTGCTATCCATTAGCAATACCTTAACCTAATTCTCCAAACATATTGCTACCCCAAGAATAGACTTTGCCTTCACCATCTAACAAACAAATAAACTAATTTCCTATGCAAATATCTAGTAAATCTTTTGGTGCAAACTCGCATCTAGTTGGTCTATCAAATTATCCAAAAAAGCCAGTACCCCAAAGATACCTGAATTAATTATTGAAAATTCCATATCAAAATAAAAAATAAATTAATTTAGTTATTTATTTACAGATATCCTTCAGATGACAAAGCTGCAGACATTGGTGTGTTTGCAGCAATTACTTTAACAAACTTTAAAGTTGACTTTTACTTAACTTTGACAGGAATGTTAGAAGATTAGCTGTTGTTAGCACATCCTAGTTAATTATATGTGTTATTACCACATGAAAAAGCTTCTCCTTCTTCATTTAAAAATAAAGTATGTCTATCCCCACAGGAAATAGCTACAATATTTTGCATCTATATTTATAACTACCTTGGTTTATATTCATTGCATTCATTACCTAAACCTAACTACCCGCATTTACCATCTCCAAACCCAAATATCTTCTAAGTTTCTATATTAAATAAATGTTTTTTTAACTAAACTGTTTTTTATTGAATGAAAAAAGTTATAAATTGGATTAATATTAAAATTTATATTCAGTATTTGCTATATTTATTAAAAACTATTAAAATAAATATGATATATCGCTTATAAAGCTGTTAATAAATAATATTCTTTTAAAAATGGTCTAATCAAAGTTTGCTTTATATAAAATTCTATTTATTTTGAATACCTTTTTTAGTTAAGATTACTAAAACTAACCTTTAAAATTTTATACTGAAATTTCAATTAATTAACTTAATTTATAACAAACATAATTTACATGTAATAACCATTGTATTTCTTTTTCCACATGATACGAAAACAGCTAAGTTATTTTTAAGGTCAACTATCTAAGGAGTAGTCATATTATCTGACTTTCCAATACCCAATTGCCCCTCGCAATTTTGTCCCCAAGTAAAAAGCTAACCATTATCGCAAACTGTAGCTGTATGATAAGCTCCACAACTGATTTAAACAGCTTTATAACTGAAAAGAAATAAATAAATAACTACCTTTTAAAAGGAAATAGGAATTACCCTTTGAGACCTTCCACAAGAGTAGGAGCAGATTTATAATATGATTCATCAACTGAAACTCCTAATTAACCCTAATTATTATTTCCCATAGAGTAAACATATCCATTTTGAGCTATAAATGATGTATGCTCTTCACCACAAGCAATATCTTCAATAACCACACTAAAGCTAGTAAATCTAGGACTAGGGCATGATTTTCCTTTAAAATATTATAAATAAATTGAAATATATTTATTTATAAAATTAAAAAACTGAATACCAAACTCTCTTGAAGCTAGTCCTAGTTATCCATAAGTATCAGCTATTTTTTATAGTTTTCATAGTAATTAAGTTAAAAACTTAAGATAATTTAGACATAATAAACTAAAAATTAAATGCTTTACATCCCCATACATATACAGGAGTGAAGTCTTTAAGTTTCTTATTCTTCTTTTCTATGCGCTTTGTAGCTTACTGCTGTTGCAGTTAATTTTAAAATTATTATTATTAAGCGTTTACTATCATGATTTATCTATCTATTTATTGTAAGTCTGATATATTTTGTAAAAAAAATAATTAAATACAAATAATTTACTATAATTATTGAATGAAAAAATATTGTTATTACTAAGCTATTTCAAATTATTATTTTTTGAAAAGAATCTATGTATATATCTTACACTCTTTTGCTATTCATTTAAAAAATTTGAGTTTAAAAAAATGAGAGATTTGATATCTTTTAAAAACCTTTGGATTATAATAACCAACAGATTTATTTTTTGTATGCTCAAATCACGTATTCATATTTGACTAATAAAAATTATGAAAAACTCAATGAATTTAGAAAATTAATTATCATTTTATATAAATTTAATAATTTTATCAATAAAAAAATGATATTTATAATAAATAATAAACAAAATTTAACAAATAAATAATTAATTTTTTTATATTTTTAATTTATTTAAAATATTTTACAACACTTTTAATCTAAAAATTAAAAATTAATAAAAATGTTTTTTAAAATAAATAAATAAATAATGTTAAAGCTTATTATTGAATATTTTATGGAGAAAATAAAATTATATTTTTTTAATGGGAGAGAAAATGAAATATGATTAGAAATAATTTAAAATCAGTTTTTTTATAGAATTTTATTTTAAATACTTTATTTTTTTCAGTTTTAATTATAATGATTGTGATGATAATGTATGTTGTGTTAGACATTTAATATAAAAATATCAAATCTAGCTATTTATGTTTATTTAATTAGAATACTTTTTTAAATTAATCAATTGTACTTTATTTGGTAAATAAGATTGTTTTAAATAAAAGTGACAAACTTTTTATTTTAAGTCAATTATTAAAAGATATTTATTTTTAAGTAAGATAAAAAAAAATGGAAAAAGAATAACCTCTGGAGATTTAGGTTCAATAGCTTATTGATTCAACAGTTGAATTATATAATTCGATTATTATTTAAGAAATTAAAGCATAAGCGGTTGTTAATACATCAACAAAATCAGAAAATGAGATATCAGAAAATTTAAAAACTTTAATTAGCAAAAAAATAATGATAGAGAGTATTGAATTTGCTGATTAGGGTAATAATAAAAAAGAATTAAGCTTCACTGTTAAGTATAGATTGGATTAATATGAAAAAGAAGAATCTGTAAAATCATTGATTAATAATAAGCTTGAAACATCAATCACAACCAAAAAGGAAAAGAAATAGTATCATTACTTCGAAAATGAAGATTAGTTTAAAGATTTACTTAGTGAAAAAGAAAATGAAAAAATAAAAGAAAACCAAGAAAAAACTCAAAATTTGTATCAGAAAATCAATGAATTAGAAAAATTTTAATAAAGAGCCCGAATTACCTTAGAAGAATAAATCGAATCCATAAAATCCTTAAATAAAACCATAGAAAAATATAAAAAGGCTTTTACAGCTGATAAAGAACTAAGAGACCAAGAAATATCCAAAAAAGATGGTTTGGAAAAAGAATTTAACAATTAAACAAAAGAAAAAAGCAAAAAGGAATAAAATATTATTGAAGGAAAAAAAATGATTAATGATTTGGTTAAAAAAGTAGAAGAATAAGAAAAAGATATTAAAACAAATGAATAATAAAAAAGATAATAATAAACTTTATCAGCTAAAGAAGAAGAAGTAAAGAAAAACTAAAATTAAATTGACCAACTTTAACAGGAACTTCTAAGCAACCAAAATGAAATTAAGAGTTTATAATAATAAATTGAAACTCTTGAAATCTAATACATTGATAAATAGAATGATTAGCTAGAACATGAAAAATAAATTTTCAAGTTAAAACAACGCATTAAAACCTAAGAATACTAAATCGAATTGCAATTGATTAAATTGAGCAAATTAAACCTTTTTGATTAGAACAGAAGAAAATCATAATGAAATAGTTAATGGTCTTGTTATTGTTAATATGCTATACTTATAGCAAGCTAGGATAAAGCTATCTCATTATTATAAATTTTGTATAGTAATAAATAATCCTAATAGATATTATTAGTGAAATATTTTTAATTTGTAATTTTATTATTAACTTTGAAATACACAAAATAATTTTTATTATCAATTTTTAAATAAAATTATCTATTATATATTTAGAGTAAGCAGATATATTAACGAATTTAAAATAAAAAATACTTTAAATTATTTTGTATTTTAGATTTAAATTTTTATAATTATTTATTAAAATGTTTAATGCTTCAGTTTAGAAGCTCATAAAAGTATAAGTATTTATTTATTTATTAATCTTAAATTTTATTATTACCATAATTCTTCGAGCTCAATCTTACTAATTAAATATCCAAAATATCTAAAACTTTATAATTAAAAAAATTATTTTTTTTGAATAAAGAAGTAAATATTTTTTTGGCATATTATTTGAGATTGTATGCTAATTTATTTAAGTATTTATATAAAATTATAACAACAAAAGAATAAATAAAATAAATATAAATAGATTAATAAAAATAAAAATAATTTTTTTTACTTTGCAAAAGTATTTATTATTGGTAATAGAAATAATAGACGCGATATCCAATAAAAACGTTAAATATAAATAAAAGTGAATGACTCTTTTATAGTTTTAATTAGAGAGTATTTAGTTAGAATGAATTTTTAATTAGATATATATTTAAATTTCCTTTTTATTATATATTTGATTGTGTAGAAAACTTTTTTAAGAGCTAATTTGTTAATTAATTTACAAAGAAAATGCAAAATAAATTAAATTTTTAGAATTAAATTGATGAACTTATAAAGTCATCGTTAAGAACAACTAAGCAAATAATTATTGAATAAAGTATTGGTAGTATTGTTTTTACTGATTTGACATCCAATTAACAAAATTAAGTTAAAAATGTATTACAAAGTTTAAGTTTAAAGAATTAAAAATTATTGATTGAATCAATAGATATTAAAGATGAAGCAAATGAGGGAAAAAGCATAAAATAAGTATCTTTCAAAGTGAAATATAGTTTGAAATAGTTTAATAATAGGTCTGTGTGTGATTTAATCAAAAATGAATTAAAAGCTGATAATTGTACAATAGTTCCTAATTAAAAACTGTTTTTTGAAGGCTAAAAGGAATTAAGACACTTGCTACAAGATGATGAGATGGAATTAGTTAAGCAAAATGAAGAACAAAAGTAAAAACTACTATCTGACATACAAAGTTTTGGCAAAGTAGTTTCTACTAGTAAAAAAGAAGAAGAAGAAAATAATAAGCTAATAGAGAAGCTAACCAAAGAGAAGGATGAGCTTAAAGCTAAAAACCTTGATTTTTAGAAGGAAAAAAATCTTACAATTAAAATAAACAAAGATTTAGTAGATAAAACTAAAAAATTGGTCGATGAAATCAAAGAAAAAGAAAAAATAATGAGTGAATAAGATTCTAAAGTTAATGAAATACTGAAAAAGATTGAAGAAAATTAAAAAAAAATGGATTCAAATGAGAAAAGCAAATAATTAGTTTCAGATATTGCAGCCAAAGATGAGTAAATAATGAAACAATAATAACTAACTAAGACCCTATAAAATGAATTACAAACCTGTAAAAACACAATTAAAAGTTTGTAATAGTAAATTGAGACTCTTGAAACAAAGATCTCAGATTAAGAAATTAGCAACTTAGACTATTAGAAGGATATTTTCTAATTAAGCGAAAAGATTAATGTTTATGACGATTAAATCAAATAGTATGATATATACTTAAAACAATGAAATCAATATAGAAGTTTTAAAATTTTATTTTATTTTTTTTATATTATTAAATATTTCTTATATTTTTGTCATTATAATATAATTTTATATTCCATAAATCTTCTTTGTTTAATAATCAATTTTAAATTTTGCTTAAAAGCAATGATTTCAAGATCTCTGCTTCGCCTTAAAAATGTCCAAAAAATATATCTACTTCCCAATTTAATAGGTTATACAGTATAAAGAAATCTAATTTTATGTTATCTTTTCATGTATTTTAAAATACACTTAAGATACATTAGAAAATGAAAATCTTTGATTATTTTTCTTTTTTTATTTTACTGAAAAATTAAATTAAGTTCGAAGTAAAAGTTATTTTCATCAAATAAAAGATTATTAGATAACCATAAATAAAATAACAAGCTTCTAACTTTACAATAAAAGTAAGATATTCTAAATTTATATTAATATCCAAAAATGTTTATTTTAAAAAAGTATCATATATAAAATCATGATTTTTATAAAGCTGTTTCAAACAAGCAATTATTATCTACAATAAATTTTTAGAAATATATCTTTTAATATGTTTAAAATAAAATCATATAAACTTATATTATGTTAAGTTTTATATTATTTATTTTATCTAATATCACTGTATTATTAAATCTATAGTAACTTTTGTTAATTTGTTTGTATTCTACTAAAAAATGTTTTATTTATTCAAAATTTAATTTTTGATAATACTTATTTATTTTTTTATAGTAATAAAAAATTTATAAAATAGAAAAAATAAAATAAACAGTGGGTATATAAATCTATTTCTATTATCTAAATTTTCTTATTATTTAACTAAAAGATTGTCAATAAAAATTTACTTGTCTTAAAATAATGAATTTTAATATAATCATTACAATTTTGTTGTCTTCTTTTTAATTAACTTAATTTTTAGTTCGAACATAATAATTTTGATCATCAAGCAATGATTTAAATTTGTATTTTAAAGAAATTTACACATTTTAAGTGGGTTTAGTTAAAAATAATAAAAAATATTTTTTTTTTTTAAATTTATTTACAAAACTATTTAGTTTAAAACGCTCTTTTAAACTCACACAATCTCAATAATTTAGACAGCTTAAACTTTTTTTAAATACTTAAAGTACTATTAATAAAATATCGATTTAGCTTTAATCTTACTTAATTAAAATCAGTTTGATATTTTTTGATAATCTAATACTAACTTTTATTTACACAAGCTAATAAATTTGTTACTAAAAATATTGAAAATAATTAATAAAGATATTTTTTTGCTATAAATTGATAGATATTTAAGCATATTAGAAAAAAAAAATAATTAATTAATATAAAATATAAAATCCTTAAAAATAAAAAATGAAATTTATAATTTTAGGCTTAGCTCTCATCTCCCTTACTTCTATTAATGCTTTACCTCAGCTTACTGCTGACCAATGTGTTAATTTAGCTTCAACAACTTTTTAATGTAATCCTAATAATGTATCATGTCCTTAATAGCTAAAAACAATTATGACTTGTGTATAAAGCTGCTTGACTCAAGCAAGTAGCGCCTAAGCAGATTGTTTCCTTAATTGTACTAAAGCAGCTTCGGAAATTTCAGTAATATCACTTGGATAAAGCTTATATCAATGTATATACCCTAGTTCTTATGGGCCTCCTAATATTACTTATAATCCTAGTGCTTCAAATAACACTTATACTACCTACTTTGATTATTGTAGGTAAATAACTCCAAGTCCTTGCTAAACTGTTGATTATGTTTGTATAAACAGTAAAATAAATGCTGATATATGCTTTGGTAACTGTTATGCAACTACAAAAATATCTGCTGATTTAATAACTTGTGCCCAATAAAAATGCACAAGTTCAATAGATTCTGTTTAAAACAGCATATCCTCAATCATCAGCTGTGCAAGTTCAACACCACCTTCTTCTTCTGATTCTTCATCTTCTACTTAAAAACCTCTTACTCTGAATCAATGTGTTGCTTTAGCTGCATCTACATTTTAATGTAATCAAAATGATCAACAATGCTCTGTATAATTATCATAATTAATAGCTTGCGGATAGAATTGTTTAAGTCAACCAATTAATGTCTAAAATGCTTGCTTGACTTCTTGCTTTAATGGAATAACTAATATTGCTGTACTTGGACTTGGTAGTAACTTGCAACAATGTGTGAATCCTATCCCTAAAGTACCTCCTAAAGTTAATTATAATCCAAATGCTTCAAATAACACTTATACTACCCATTTTGATTATTGTAAAACAATAAATCTTAATAATTGTAATCCTGTTGATTACACCTGCCAAAATGAATTCTCGAATATCTAAATATGTTTTGCAAACTGTTACTCAAGTACCAAATAGGCTTCAGATTTATTAAGTTGTGCTTAATAAAAATGTTCAAGTTCTGTTTCAACTATCTCAAATTATGTTAGCTCAGTGATAAAATGTGTTAACTCCACATCTTCTTAGTAAATCCTAACAATTTTATCAATTACTATATAATTGTTAATTGTCATTTTATATTGATTGCAAATTACATATTGTAATTAATTTTTTAAATTTTTAATGTTTTCTTTTAAATATCTTATTTTTTTTCGTTTATAGTTGTAAAACCCTCATTTATTTAAGACTATTAAAAAAATAATGTGAATTCTCATTTATTTTTACTAAACAAACAAGTTTTTTAGGTGTTAATATTCTATTTAACTAAAACCAAAAAAATTTTCAAATTTTCTAAAATAATCTTAATTTTATGGACATTTACAATATGTTTTTTTTATCAAAAATAATTTTTTTCTAATTTTATATAAAATACAGAAAAATAGGAAATAAAATAATACAACATTAAACAAACAAATAAATAAATAACAATTTAACAATTTATTGTTTAATTGCATTCATTTGTTTAAATCAGTTTTTTAAATTATTTAATTAAAAACTTAATTTGACAGACAAAATAAATAAATAAATAAATAAAAAACTTAATATTAGATTAACAATTAAATATCAAAAATCAAAATGTATTTATTAAGTTTTTAATTTAAAAAAAATTGAATTCTTTTTTAATTTAAATCAAATTTGGCTATGGTGGTTTGTATCAGTATCTTTTTCATCAAATATGATAATTTCCTCTGTTTACAAAGGCTCAGTTTTTTATTTTTAATCATTTTCTTTTGTTTCAGAAAAAGAACTTATTGAACCACCCCTACTAGTTCTATTAAATTGAATTAGATCTTCATTTTCTTCTGTTTACATTTAAAAATTATGTGAAAACTGTTGCTATTCGCTTCTAGGGATAAAATCTTTATTCTCATCATTTTCAGTTGTAAGAAGAGCTTCCTACTAAATAGAAGGGCTTCTTGCAATTTATCGACCTGCTTGGGCTTAACTATAATTTTTTGGCTAATTAATGGTAACCTTTTTCTGAATATCAAATTTTTCTTAGCTCTTATTTGATTTGTGTGATTAACTATTTTAGCTTCTAGGGTTTTTATTAATATCTTATGCCTCATTATGATAATTTTAAAAGACACTATTATTTATTTATTGACTGTACTGTGATTCTCTTAGCTGCTGCTCTATTTTTTCTTATTACCTCTTTTTCAGGAATCTTTACTACTAGGTGTATGGGGATTCATAAAGCTTAGCGTTATTGTTTTTCTTCAAAAAGTTTTGAACTTATGAATTATTTAAACCATTTTAGTTCTGACTTGAAATCAGTTGAGGATTTAGGCTTACTCTTTGCTTGATACTTTTATTAGCACTTAGTTAGATATTTTTATCTGCATTTTAAGGTTTTTCGATATTTATGCGACGCTAAGAATTAATTTGCTATGGAATATTAAAGTTAATTGAAGAATATCTGTAACTTTTTTATTGGTTTAAATTAGGCTACTTAAAACTTTCTAATGAAATTTCATCTTCTTAATCTAATTTTTACGGAGTCATTTCTATATTTTACAAGTTCTAATCATTCATTTATCTATTATTAGGATCAAAATTTGTCATCTAAGTGCTTTATAATTTAGATCTCTTTTAAGCATTTTGATCCTAAAGTATATCTTTGAAAAATTAAATATTTTCTTAGCTGTTATTGTCTTATTAGTGAACTTGATTATAATTAATTTCTTTTTGATTTGAGTTAATGCTGCTTTTAACTTGTTTAAAGTTACTCTAAATTGAGTTAATACTCGTTGTTTACTAAATGTTTAATTATTAATCATGCTGTGAAGAATTATAAGAGAAGGGCTAAAATAGTTCTTACATTTTTGGATTTTTGAATGGTGAAACATTTTAAGAGGGAGTTGAATATTTGTTTTTTATATGATAATTTAATTGTTTAGAAGGCTCTGAGACCCTATTAGGATAATTATTATCTTAAGTATTGTTATTATTTTGGTATTTACTGTTAAAATCATGTTTATGATTATGAGGAGTATTTTACTCTGTTTAACTGTATGTTGTTTTAAAATAATTGTTTTACAGTTAGATATTTCCCTTTTTAAAACTCAATTAATTATCTTATTAATTAAACATTTTTTGTTGGTTGTTATCATTATTTTCTTCTATAAAATTATTATTAAATAAGTTGAAATCTCCTCTTTTAGATCTCAAGTATTCCTCTGGAATCGATTAAAAGCTTTGATTGCTATTTATTTTATTAACTCCGTTATTTTTTATGCTCTCTCTGTTAAATGCACTAACTTCATTGTTTTATTCTTGATTCTAGCTTGTAATATTTCTATTAAAAGGGTTCACAAAAAATAGTCTTGGATGGTGTAAACTAAGAAAATTATTATCAAAATCAAGGATAGGACTATCTTTAAGTGCTTAGCTATTTGATCCATTTAAGTTCAGGCTTTCTTTTTTTATGTTAAATAAGCTGTTTTAACTGCCAACACTGTTTGTGTTTTTCCTATGTTAAGGAATCAAATGAGATAAATTAGGAGAGTTTTATCTGTGTGCTTATAAAGGAGGAGTGTTATTATGATTACTTTCAGAATTTTTTCTAAATTTATTGTTTATGATATTAATTTCTGAATTATAATCTTGAGAATGTTTTTTGTCTTTTCTTTCTTATGAAAATTCTTAATTAATTTACTTACTAATTAATAATTGCTCATATAGTTTTTTATCATCAAAATGAATCATTTCATTAGCTTGTGTTTCATCTGAATTATTCAAAACTATTAGCCTTTTTAATGATTGGTCATTCTTATCATTTGTATTTTCATTACTTAAAATTAATGCTTAGTTGCCAAAAGATATATTTTTGGGGTTTCCAAGTTACACAAACAGTTAGTTTTAGTACTCATTTTCTTGCTACTCGCTGATGTTTTCCAAGTCATGCTAGGATTAACAACGCCTTTTCTTTTGGCTTTTTTTATTCTACAAAAAGCTGTAAGGTGATATTTAATAGAATTATTATTACTCAAATAGATCTTTTTTATTTAAACTTTCCTAGTTTTCATCCTTTTGAGAAATCATAGTTTAATTACTATTACGAATAGACAAGCTTGTTTGACTTACTGGCATAAGCATGTTCTTAATACTACTAAGTTTAAGCAAATTTTTCTTCTAAGGATCAAATAAGAATAAAGGTGACTCAATTGATTTCCTTGCAAAAGAGAACTAGTTATCCTTTAAGCTTAAAGTACTTAATTTGCTGTATTAATTATTATTCTCCATATAATCAGCCTAATTAAGGCAAATACTTTCCCTAGGATATGAAGTTTTTCCTTAAATATTTTCCTCAATTTATTCTCCAGAACAGGATAAATGATTAATTCTTTATTCAGTGTTTTTATTTTGGTTAGATGGCTGTTAACTAAACATGGTTTAACTTTGAATAAACTACTAAGTGCTTTTAGGCGAATTAACATCTCCACTGGGAGCGAGCAAAGGCTAAAACTAAATATTTTCTTTATACTTTTAACTAATTCTGTTTTTCATATTTTTATTTTCTTCCTTTTCATAGAAGTGATTGAATTTATTTGATTATTACAAATCAATTATTTGATTATCTTCTTGTTTTTGTTAATTATCTTAACCACAATCATTTTCTATGTAAGAAGAGGTTAACCTCATTCGTACTTCGTCTTTTTGTTGTTATAATCTTAACTATTGCATTTAAGATCTAGCTAACATAATAGATTGTTTTAATCCCTATCCTTAATCTGGTACATTAAATTTGAGAGGGATCATAGAAACTTTTCTTGAGTTTTTGTTAGGTGTCACTACTTAGCTTCCATCCGCTTTAGTTATGTCAAAGTATCTTTTAACATCAGGATCTAACATCATTATCAGACGTTCATCTAATGGCTCTTTTTCTTGTTTCATTTGAATCTATTTGTAAGCGTGGAAAGCCTCAGTAAATTTATCTAAATTTCCTTTTTCTGAATTGAGAAGAGTCCAATTTTGCTGAAGATCTGCATTCATTCTACCTAGCATCAAATTATTCTCTTACTTTTCAGGATCTGTTTGCACAACAGGCTTAGGCATATACTCAAAAAGTTTTTATTATTCATAAGACAAAAGCAATACTTTTAATTTATCTATTTCCACAAGCTTTTATAAAATGTATATGATATCAAAACGCTCAGTAACTTTCTTTACAGAATACTTGATTTACTTTTTCTTAGATAAACACTTCAGTTGTGAGAAATAGTATTTAATGTAATCTATGCAAGTGAATCTTAATGGTTTTTCTTACATATTCTCTAATTCATTAGAAAATCTGGCATTATCTTCTGTTTTAATTAAAAATATTTGTTTATTTAATGTCAATGTAGATTAATATATATTTATCAAAGCAAGTGGTTAATAGGAATTAATTTCTAAATTCAAAAATCTTTAATTTCAAATGAAAATTTGAATTTTAATTTTTGGTATTTTCAATTAAATTAAATTCAAAAATAAATTTTTTTAATGAAATAAATGAAATGTTACCATTTTATTCTTTTACAGTTGTTTTTCTCATACCTCTCTAAACTAAATAATTTTTTTAGAGTATTTCGGTGATGATAGTTGTTCCTTTTCTTTTAAATAAATTAGGTTTATTTTACAAATTTGGTTTAGATGGTTGCTGCTATTGTTGTTGATTAGAATGATCCTATTATTTTTATAAGTTTACATTCTATTTAACACTTTAGAATACTTTTAAGCTATCATCAACTTTAATTGAGTTGTATTGATTCTAGCTTACTTCTGCTGTTAAATATTTATTTGCCCTTCTTGCATTAAAAATTCTATTTTCTTCATTACCTGGATCTAGGTTTTATTCTTGATGATTAGCATCACTTGCATCTTATTAATCTTCTTGTTTATTTTCAATATTTTATTGATCAATTGAATTGAGATTTAATTCACCTTTCATTTCTTATACTGCTTGCTTTTATTCTTGTCCTATAATAATTTCAAATTATTTTTTGGATGTTTAAGAATTAGATCTTGTTCTAACTCTTTTGAATGCTGAGCTCTCAAATTTATTCTGCTGAGCTAAATTTTCTTATAAAAATTTTGATTTTGGAGTGTTTATGGCAGAATATTTCTTTTTTTTATCAGAATCATTTATGGTAATTTAATAATTTTGGTTCTCTTTTTATTGAATTTAATTTTAAGTATTAAAATTTTGCTATGTATTATAACTGAATAAATCTTTATCCCTTGCTATTGAATTTTTAAGATTTAACTTTGCTTTTTATATCGAAGAAACATTTTTGCTATCTATAATGCTTTCTCTTTATTTTATTTGGTTAATACCTTTTAGCTAATCAACATAATCTATTTTAAAAAAATTATTATTATTTTCCTAATCATTAACTTAATAATCTGCAGGGTAGAGGCGTTATTTTTGAAACATATATTCATTTTAATTATATTAGTTATCTAACTAAAGGGTTTTTTTGTCTAATTATTTAGGCTATAAATATTGGCCATATGCTTATTAGTTAGAATTTAATTCCTAGTTTGCTTCACTATCTTGATAATAATTTTACTGATCTAATTCTTTTAAAACATATTCTTTTTTAAACTTATTTTCTTCTTTCTTATAAATTTCACTGCTATCACTATCATCAGAGTCACTCTATTGCATTTATTTTTCCAAGCTTTTTCTTAATCTTCTATTTCTTTAGTCCTCGAAAACAAAAAGCTCATTTACTAATTCAGAATTCATCGATAATTTTGCAATTGGTTTAACGAGTACTCTACCAATTAAAATCAGAGTTTTCAAAAGACCACCAACTACTGCAAGCAAGCCTTATACCTTCAGATAACTTCTCTATTTAATAATAAAAATATTAATTAAACATTTAATGAACCAATTTTAAGCTTTTAATTATTTTTTAGATCTATAATAGTAAAATAGTTAAATAGTAGCGATATTTGCTAAAAATCAGTTAATATTAACTGTCATAAAATTAAGTAAATTAAAATTAAAAATAAAAATAATAATTTTTTTTTAAAAAAAACTTATTCATTACTAGCAAATATAACAAAAGTATTTTTTTATTAAGAGATAATTTTTTTGCTCCAGTAAAAAAGTTTGATAACAAATCTTTTTTTTTCTTATTATGATGGTAAGTAAAACTAAAACTAATTTTTTTATAAAATCACAATAACTCTTATTAAACATTAAGAAAATTGCTAGTTTTAAGTATTATGCTTTAAGTAATAATTACTTGATAAATGAGCCTTAATGGATGAACAGATATTCTTAGAGAGAGCACAAAATCAACATTAGAGTTTAAAGATTAGGCTAATTCATTAATAATAACATAGTTACTTTTCTCAAAAGTAGATGTAAGCCAACCCTAATCAGTGACTACTGTAGATTTTTGTAAAATTAAATCATAGTCTTAGCTACCATCAACACCATTTTATAGTAAATTAAATTCAATATACTTGCTGTTGTAGATTGGAGTATAGCATTATGCATATTTGTTAGGAGAAAAGTACTAGTCTTAATATAATAAATTTAGTTTCAATTTTTAATATTAGCAACAAGATTATAAGCATTGGGTAGTTTTGCACTGAACACTAACCTCAAAATATTGAGCTTTAAAATCTGTATCATACCCCCAAGCTTCAAATTACTGATTATCGCTTAAGCATAAGTAATTGCTTGGATTAAAATCACTTATATTATAATTTTAAAAGGAATCGCTTTTGCATTGCTCAGTTTGTATTGGAGTTTTTTGGTAATTATTACCATCTTTTTATACAAAATATATTTGAATTTATAATTTATCGATGATGTCTTTTGATATTTCCTATCCCTATAAATCTGTAATCCCAACCATAAATTAGATATCATTTAAAGAGATCTAACTAAATGATCCAAAGCTGCCTACATTAGAGCTGATTTCGTTATTAGACTCATAAGCTAGGATTTGCTAAAACGATACACTTGGACTATCTTTTTAAATCAATTCTTTCCCAATTAAAATAACTGCTGTTATTGAACATGCTACGACAAAAAGAGTCATGGTGGCTCCGCATAGAGTCTTATGAGTTTTTTTGTCACCTAGTCTTAATTCTATTTTAGGACCAAAGACATCGATTTCCTTAATATACTTTAATTTCATAAACAATCAATCAATCAATTAACTAACTTATCTTACTAATATATATTAAACAAATTTATTTAATTACTGACTTTGTTAATTTTAACTAATTATTATTAATTTTTAAAAATATATCAGTCAATTACTCTTAAAATATTCAATTCTAAAATTTACTAAATTTTTGTGAAGAATTAATCATTATTTTTTCCTCTTTAATTTTTCTTCTACTCATCAAAATTCTATTAAAAATATTACTTTTACTGTTAGCAAGTTTATAGATAAAGAAAAAATAAATAAATAATAGTTGATATCTTATTATTATCACTATTGTTTTTTCCCTTAATATTTATTTTTCAAATTCGATTTCTAAATATCAAAATATTCCTACAATAATTAAGAATAGAAAATTCTTATTTATTTAAAGTTGAATGAGTCAGTCAGTCAGTCAGTTCTTTTTTAAGGTTGAGTATTTATTTCTTAATAAAATTAATATTTATTTTTCTAAATACATTTATGGAAATAATATAAATAGATTCATAAACAATATATAATATAAAAGTTATTTTTTTATATTTTTAAGTATATATGTTAAGATTAATTATTAAATTAAATATATTTCACTCATTCTCTAACTTTAGAAGTTATTCATAAAGTAGCTTTTCCTCTACTGATACTTTTTTAGGTATTTTAACATTAAGAGTAACATATTAATCGCCAGACTCTTTATTGTTATCTCTTTAAACCCCCTTTTAAAATATAGTTTTATTTATTAAATAATAAGTTTCCTATAAAATAAAGTAATTTAAATTACATAACCTACTATTTTTAATTTATGTCCATCTTATACTCCTGCAGGAATATTAATTTCTACATCTCCTTTTGTTGTCTTTACTTAAATTTTTCCACCTAAAATTGCCTAATTTAAAAACAAATTTATCAAATACTTCATATAAAAAGCTAATTTTTATACTTTAGCTGGAGAAATTGTATGTTCAGTTAATATATCAAGTCCAGTCTTTTTAAATTCTTTATCATTTTATATTTTTAATTTTATTATTAGATCGCCAGGAGCACCACCTTTTTCACTTAAATTACCCTTCAATAAAGAAAAATTATTTTATTTATAATAATTATTGTAAATATTTAATAAATAGATAGAATGAAATGGGTTGGAAAGTAAGTATGTTTGTTTTAGATAATAACCAAAAAATAGCAAAATATTTAGGTGATGGGGATTATAATTATAGAGGAAGTACATTAAATAAGAGTTTAATATTTAATTGAACTTTTAACATTTTTTAATAAGGAAATAAAAAAATCTTTTAAAGGATTTTAAAAATTAAAATTTAAAAAGCCCCTTTTTTTTGAATTATAATTTTAAACTTACTGAAACGAATTAAAATAAATATTTAATATTTTAAGAATTACTTAATTTGGGAATTTAATTGTTTGTCCATGATTAACTCCTTTTGGTATGTGTACTGTTTCTTTTACTATTTAAGTAGTCAATCCTGATGCCTTGCAGTTTTTACATGGACAATCGACTATTTAACCTTAACCATTACATTCTTCACATTTAAACTCCCAAACATATAATCCTTATTAAAACTAAACACTTCCTGTTCCTTTACATGTTTTACATAATTTTTTTTTGGAACCTGGAGCTCTTTTAGTTCCATTGCATTTTTCACAAAGTTACTTCTTTTCAATATCTATTGTTTTACTGCATCCATTAATAGATTCCTCGAATGTAATTTAAATAGTTTGATTGACATCTGATCCTTTCTTTCTTTTATCTTTTGAGAAAGTAGTTTTTTTATTCTTACCAAAATCATCAAAAATATCTTAATCTTCATCATTTAAAAAGTCAAATTCTGTCTCATCATAAACATACCTTTAACTCTATCCTTTCTATTATTAAGCTTTATTACTTTCATACTTAGCTTTATTATTTTATCTAAATTTATTGTTTGTACTTTTATTCAAAAACTCTTTTAGAATCTCCTCATCGAATGAAAAGAAGTCTTCGAAATTTATATTTGATTTATTTCCATAAACAAATTGATCAAATCCTCCACTTGCTTATTATTAATATGTCTATCTTCTATTTTAAGATCCAAATATATCATCATTTAACTACTAACTTCTGTCATATTCCTTCCTTTTCTATTCATCACTAAGAACTTAATAGGCGCTATTTGATAAATTTTAAGAAATAGTTTAAGTTGAATTGGCAATAATCATTTTAAATTAAATTCAAACTTTCTGCAATTTACAATTATTTTTTAATTAAAAATTATTTTAAGTTTTCATTTTGCTTTCAAAGAATAAAATAAGAATATTCTAAAAATAAATCACAATTCAATAGGTCTACTTATTAATTTTCGCAAATTGTATTCCTGAATTTTTATCACTATTAACATCTGGATGCATTTTTTAAGCTAAGCTATAATAAGCTTTCTTAATTTCTTCCGGTGAGCTATTATGCTTAACTCCCAATAACTCTATTTTTTAAATTAAAATAATGATTTCAATTATTCATTTATCTAATTTGAAAATTGAATCTTTTAAGATCTTGAATTATATTTACTGTAATAGTTTTCTTCAGAAGTAGAAAATGCTTTAAACAACTTATTTTGTATTCCAAATCTGCTAACTGCTTAATTTGTTTATAAATTAAATAAATTTCTTAAACTTCTAGTTATCATTTATGTAAGTGGTTGATGTTGTTTAATATTTCAATTGAATTTTTAATATATTAAAAACAAAATAATTAATTAGTGAATGAATGAATGTATTTATAAATATCTTTCAAAATTAATTCTGATTTGTTAAAAATATATCTTTAAAACCATTCTTATTTATCAGTCACAAATCAATAATGAATGAATGAAAATTAGGAATTAATTAATAATTCATTTGTATAATTTAATATTTTAGCTAATTTAGTTCATTTATTATTTAATTTCATAATTATGAGTTATTTAAATTTTTTAAAATATTACGCATGAGCTTAACATCTGATTTTCATATAAATCACAGTCATTTATTTTAAAATTAAAAATATTAGAATAATCAATAAGAGTTTTTCGCAAAAAAAATATCAATTTATCAACAACTAAAATATCTTATCAACAATACTCTTCAAAATAAACAGCTATTTTAGGTTTTTTTAAGATAATTATTTATTTTAAATTGTATGAAATGAATGAAAATGTGTAAAACTTTTAAAAACATTAAAAAGTTTATATAAATAATTTAAGCATTTATAAACAATCAATACTTTCTATAAATCAAACTGAATATTTTAAATAATTTTGAATACTTTAAACTATAATTTTCTCAACATATACTTTAAATTTAATTAAAATTTACTTTGATTTAAAATGATATTATTTTTATTTGCTTATTTCAAAACAGATAAGCCAATTAAATAAGTATGCAATAATAGCATTTATAAGTAAGTGATAAGCTTAATATAAATTTATCAATTATGTAATCACAAAAATTATTGCAATAAATTCATTTTAAACTAGTTATTTCAAGCCATTATATAACTTTTATTTAAAATAATACGAATATAAAAAGGTTTTTAAAATATAGATAAATAGAAAGAAATACTAGAGATTATTATTAGATAAGAGCATTAATTTGTCAAAAAGAGTTTTATATTTTATTCTAATTTAAGATTATTTTTTCATAAAAATGCGTTAAGTTAAGTAAATAAATAAATTAGCTTTTAGTATTCATTTCATTGATAAAATATTTTGCCAATTTTCAAACGCTTCAATCCCTTATTTTTCAATTTGTCCTCTTCCGTTTTTAGTTAAAACAGAGCCATCATCTGGATTTATAATAATAAGACAAGGAATACCTTATATATATTGTTTATATTCGAGATACATTTTTATTTTATTAGCATCTTTGAATTCATAAGAAAGCCATGGTAAATCTTAAAAGTATTCATGAAATTGACTTGCTTTTTAATCAAAAGGAAAATAAAGAATTTCAAAAACTTTTTCATCAGCATTCACATTATTATAAAAATCTGTTAAATTTGGTAAAAATCTGTTAAATGGTTCACAATAATCAGCACCAAACAGCAATCCTACTATTTTTGCTTCTTTTAATAGTGTTCCATCTGTATGGCCATCCTTATTAATAAATGTAGCTCCAAATTTTTCCATATTTCCTATCCTTATTATACAAAATATATAACTACAAAATTAAGATAATTTCTATTAATTTTTATATTGGAAAACTAATATAATTAATTTTCTTTTTGCATATTTCTTAAATTCGTTACATTCATATAAACTATCATTCATTTATTAAAGTCTTTTTAAAATATCTAATATTAATTTAAATTTATTAAAATAAGTCATTTATTATAAATGGATATATCTTTTATTCAAAAAAATGCATAGATCTTCTAAAAAACATAAAAAATAACATTTTAATTCATTTATAAATTTTAACTTTGTTCTTTCTTCTACTTAATATTTATTTGTAACTCCCCTATAGTCTAGCAGGTTAGGATAGAAGGTTTTCACCCTTCAGACCCGGGTTCAAGTCCCGGTGGGGGAAGCTTTTTTAAAGTCAATATTCTAGTAAAAATATTTGCTTACTTAATAATTTACTATTTCAGAAAAGATTAAAACAAATTTTGGCCTGTGAATTATACAACTGTATCTCCCCTATAGTCTAGCAGGTTAGGATAGAAGGTTTTCACCCTTCAGACCCGGGTTCAAGTCCCGGTGGGGGAATTCTTTTTGGATAAAATGTTATCATATTCTAGTTAGTTTGTTATTTCTGAATCCAAAAAATAATAAAACTTATGAATCAGGATCAGTTAGAATTATGTAATCCCCTATAGTCTAGCAGGTTAGGATAGAAGGTTTTCACCCTTCAGACCCGGGTTCAAGTCCCGGTGGGGGAAATATTTTTAAAACTAAAATATTTAAAAACAATATCAAATTTATTATTTGTCATAAAAAAAATGATTTATCAGATTTGATAAAAAAGATTATAAATCCCCTATAGTCTAGCAGGTTAGGATAGAAGGTTTTCACCCTTCAGACCCGGGTTCAAGTCCCGGTGGGGGAATACTTTTTGAATAAAATGTTATCATATTCTACTTAATTTGTTATTTCTCAATTTGAAAAATAATAAAACTTATTAATCAATATCAGTTGCAATTATGTAATCCCCTATAGTCTAGCAGGTTAGGATAGAAGGTTTTCACCCTTCAGACCCGGGTTCAAGTCCCGGTGGGGGAATACTTTTTTAGTAACTTTTATTTAAATAAATTACAAAAATATAAAATTAAATATATGTAAATTTATTTATTTACTTTTTATTGACTTAATATATTTTATGGTCTAGCAGATTAGGATAAAAGGTCTTCACCCTTTAGACACTGGTTTTAATACCAGCTGATGAATTATTTTTGAATTAAATGTTATCACATTCTATTTAATTTGTTAGTTTTGAATCCAAAAAATAATAAAATTTATGAATCAGAATCAGTTACAATAATGTAATCCCCTATAGTCTAGCAGGTTAGGATAGAAGGTTTTCACCCTTCAGACCCGGGTTCAAGTCCCGGTGGGGGAATACTTTTTAGTCCGTTAAATTAACTATTTTTTATTAATTAATTTATTATTAAAATTTAACAAAATTTATTTTCCTTTCAAGTTTATAAAATATAACTCCCCTATAGTCTAGCAGGTTAGGATAGAAGGTTTTCACCCTTCAGACCCGGGTTCAAGTCCCGGTGGGGGAATTATTTTTTTATTAAATCTTTTTATTTTGGGATAAAATAAAAAATATATTCTTTATATAAAAAATGTTTAATAAAAAGGTAAGAAAATACCTATTTTTATTTTTTAAATAGAATGTTATTTTAGTAAAATATTACAATACTTTATATGAAAGTTTATTTATTTATTTTTAAATTAAAAAATGATTATTTCTATTAATTATGGACATAGCCAAAGAAAAACATACATAAACTAAATTTATGTGTAAAAAATGAGTAAAAAAGCTTTAAAAAAATGTATTTTAAATATCTTTCCTCATTTTTTTTAGCAGTTGATAGTACAAATAATTTGAGACAAGTCTAGAAATAATAAAAGTAAAGCTATTAATTTGTAAATCCCCTATAGTCTAGCAGGTTAGGATAGAAGGTTTTCACCCTTCAGACCCGGGTTCAAGTCCCGGTGGGGGAATTACTTTTTAATTATTTTGTTTTATTTATATAATTATCTACTTTAAATTTCATTTCAATAAAAATGTTATTTTATAATATCAAAAAAAATGAAAGTTCTTTGAAAAATTAATATAAATAAATGTAATCCCCTATAGTCTAGCAGGTTAGGATAGAAGGTTTTCACCCTTCAGACCCGGGTTCAAGTCCCGGTGGGGGAATTATTTTTTATTATTCAAATTATTGATTTTTCTTCTTCTAAAATTCTTAATTAAAAACATTAAATATAATCGAACTTCGAGATAATTCTTTTTGATTGGAATAATTTTCTATGACTTTAGTAAAAAAATGAAAAAATAATTTGTAACATTCAAAAGATTTAAGCAAATCTGAGAATTTTTATTAAAAAACATTATTCAATACTTATATATATTATATTTCTATTTTATTTCTTTGCAAAAGCTAACGAAACTAATTAAAAATCATTAAAAATAATACAAAAAATGTAAAAATTTATAAACTGCAATTCTAATTTTTATAAAACATTATGTAAGAATAGTGGATTTTTTTAAAATATTCAAAATAATTGTGTGATTACATAAGAAAATGATAACAAACAAGTTTTCCAAATCAAAATTTTAGAAATAGGTTAAGTTTTTTGTCATTCTAAATCTCTCTTGACGAAGCAAGTAATTAGAAATGAGAAAACAATCCAACTTTTTTATTAATTTACAATTATAAAATTAATATTTTTTATAATTTTAAAAAGAAATGAAGATAAAATATAAATGGCTTTGAATATAAAATATAAATGTTAATTTAATAAGTTAATAAATTAATAAATTAAATATAATTTATAAAAGATTTTTTTGTTATTCTTTCTTGTTAATAAATCCAATTTATCAAGCAAGTTATAGTCAATAGATAATCAATAATCGATCATTCTTATTAGGGTACTTCCTCTAATAGCTTTTACATATTTCTGAGTCTTCTCAAACATGCAGATTTTCCAATAATTTATGAAACAAGACCTATAGCGTGAGATTAATGATATCCTGTTAATGTGAATCTCAAAAATTTATAATAAACGTCTTTATCTAGCTTTGAATTTACATTTTTAATGTAATAAGAAATTTATTTGTTAATATTTGACTCATCAAACTAGCTGTCAGCAAGTTTTTTATTATAAATATTTATCATATCTTTGATTACTTGTGCATATTTTTGGTTTATTACAGGATCTTTAAAAACTAATTCTCTAGAGGATTTTTCCCTTTGAGTGTTATAAGTAGGATCAGTAAAAAAGAATGGGTAAGAACTAAGATCTTCATATTTTCTAATTCTGTTAGTTACTATTTCTATAATCTGCACTATGTTTTTATCTTTAACTCTGTCTATAGCTTCCTAGAAGTCAGGGCCTAATTGCTAAATGAGAATTTCCCTAAATTCATTGATAAGCTTATCACTTTATTTTTAACTAATATCGTCTCCAAAAAGAGGCATATATTTTTGGCGTATGAAGTATCTATTGAAGTAATTCAATTTTAGCTAGTCATATTCAAAGCTTTCTTGTTTAACATCTTGCATAGTGAAGCTATTCATGAGATATTCAGGTGAGTATAATTCAAGGGCATATATTTCATCTTAAGTTTTACCTTCTTCTTTGAGTTACTTGATTTTTTAATTGACAACCTAGTTTCTCCATATTTAGGTAATGACAAAGTTAGCTAAAGCTTGAATTGAAACTCCTTATTTAATAAAATCTTTAACTTAAAAGTATCTAAATAATTCTTCGTTCTTGAAGTATCTATGATTACTCTATTATATAAAAAATCTAATAAAAATACTTTCTAAAATTTTTATTTTGCTTAAGAAATAAATCTAAATTTTTATAAATTAAGATTTACATCAAGCATATTCGGCAAATGGAAAAACTTAGGTTGATCTTAATGATTTAAAAGTTAGTAAATAACTTGCTACTTAGGGATGTCTTTCATCCATTCTTAATTTCTAACAACATGAGTTATTTTTTGATCTATGTCGTCTATGGAAAAGCTAAAGAATTTTGATGGCTAACCATTTGTTTTAAAAATAATCATGTCATACAAAAAGGCTTGATAAATAAAAGGATTTAGCTATATTTCATCTTTATAAAATATCTTCTTATATGGGTCTCTGGTAAGTTCATCAGTCTACATTTTAGTTTCAAAATTTTTTAATTTTAAGCTAAACCAAAATAGAATTTTAAAATTACTTTGAGTCTTATGCAATATTCAACTTTGTCATTTAATTTCTTTTGGATCTATTCTTCTGTTAAATTTCTACATACTCCGCTATATTATGGTATTTTGTTATTTTTATAAATTAAGTTATTTTATTGAATATGAGTTTCTTTATCACAAAAGCATCTATAAGCTTTTCCTTCTTTTATCAGTTATTCAGCAATTTCTTTATATCTATCTAATTTTTTAGAGCTTTCGTAAGGACCAAGTTGTCCCTCCTCTTCATACTAATTTTGATATCCTATAATTGATTAAATATATTAAATAACGCACATTCATTTTATAATAAAACATACCTTCGTCCCAATTAATACACTACTTTAATATCCCTGTATAGAGATCTCTAAAATCTAGGTGATCCGACTTAATTATATTAAAAAAATATTGATTTCATTGCATTTAGATTTTTAAGATTTGATTAAATATACTTAATCCTTAATGTCGTCCAGATGGAGGATAAAAGAGGCTCCATTGGATCTAGCATAGTAATATGCAGCCAAAGCACTCCTAAAATGATTTAGATTAAACATAGTGTGATTACTCTGCAAAACGTATTTAACTCTCATAGGACGAATGTTCGAGAATTAATACTTAATTAGCTATTTTAGTATCATTTCTACTACTTATTGCTACTTATTATATATTTTTAAATTATTTTTGTAATAAATAATCTTGAAATTTGATTCCTACCACTATCTTTCTTATTGTTTTTTATTGAAATATACTTATAAATTTTGGCTTCTAGCTAAATATTTTCTGGAAACTTAAATATCTACTTTTGTTTGCAAATATTAATTCCAACTTTTTTTTGATTCTTTCAAAATAATAAGGATTTTGAAATAAATCTAATCTAATTTAATAATATTAATTCTATAATAAAATTAAGGATAGCAGTGATATATTTATTTACTTATTAAATAAATATGTATAAATAAATCTTTTTAACATTAGTTTGTTTAACTTTATCAAAATAACCATTTAGAAAAAAGATTTTTTTAATTAAAAATAATTTATTTAATTATTTTAATGAAATTAAGAATTCTTATATTTATTTTTTAGCTTTAAAACTAATAATTTTAAAATGATAAGTATATAGGGGAGTCATTTGAAAGGTTCTTTATTTCCTTTTAATACTCCATATATGAAAAACCTTTTCAAAATAATTCTTCTTTCAACAAATTTATAAAAAAGAATCCCTCCATAGATTTTATTTATGCTTATTGATTAAATTTTACAATTTATTCTCATAACTCTTAATGAAAATTGAGAGATAGTTTCTTAAGTAAAATAATTTTTTTTATTTTTAAATTAAATATAAAACTCTTAAAATCAAATGAAAAATTATATTTATTTAATTGATATTTATTTGTAATAAATGTAAATTTTATTTAACAGGATATTTTTCAATAAAATATTATTATAAACTTAAAACAAGTGTTGGTTATATTTATATTTATTATTAAATTTATTTGTTTTTAAATTATTGTGTTCATTATTAAGATAAAAGAGATATTAAACATTTTGTTACATTATAGATACTAGCTATTATATTTTTTTTTTGTCTGTTAAATAATTAAAAATATAACAGACAAATAAATATTTTAGTTTTGTTTAATTTTAAAGAATTAGATTAAAAAAAACAGTTTTTAACTATTTTGCAGTAGTAAAATGTATGTCAAAGAAAAAGGATTGTTAACGAATTAAAAAATCTATTAAAAAAGGAGATGATATGTAATATATAGAAACAGCAAGTAAGATGTAATTAAGCATTTTATATGGATTGGATAATAATTATAAATCAAGGTATGTAATATTTATGTATTTTAATGATTATAACATATTTCTTCTATCTGATAATTTGATTAATTTATTGAATTTATGAATGAAAATATTCATTTGGCTCTTTTTCGTATTTCTTGTATAAAACTTGCTATAAAAAGACTAATTATAAGAAAAATATAATCTTATCTCACAAAAGAAAGGTGTTAGTTAGTTAGTTAGCTAGCTAGCTAGATCTTAAAACTGGCAAATCACTAAAGTAGTTAAAGAAATACCAAAGATAAAAGAGATATTTAAATTAAATAGATGATGAAGAAATCAATATTCTCATCACTCTACAGCTTGGTTAGGAACTTCGTTAGCATCATAGTGCTAATGTTCTTCATGGTTTGGAATCTCCGAAGTTTTTCCAACATCAGTTACATTTTTATGTAAATAAGTGTTAGTTCTGGGTTAAACTTTTTTAAATTTAGTTAGCTTGAATAATTCCTTATTGTTGTTTTATTAAATCTAAGATAGCTTTTATTTGGTGTATGTATAACTCAAATCACTTGCCTTGTTACCTTTAGGTAGTAATCTGGGTTTAAATGAATCCTTTTTCATTAAATAAAATTATTTAAACAAATAATTCATGCAAATATTTCAGTAATTATTTATTTAGTTCAATATAAATTGAAGAATTACCTATTAAGATCTATACATATAATCCTATTCAATACGCTGTTAGAATTCTAAACCATAGCAATTTCCTAAAACTAACTTGATAGGAGTTGAAGGTCTATTTTATTATTTCAAATTAAGTAAGTAAGTATTTGGTTGGTTTAATTTAATTTAATTGATTAAAATATATACCTGTTTGGTAAACCGTATCTGAATTCTTCTTCTGGAATGTACAAAGGAAGAGCATTACGTCCCTTAACTACCTTCATACGTGCATCTACTCTCTTTCTGTAATCAGAAAATTGCTATTTTAATGAAAATTAAGTTAACTATTTGTATTTACAAAAATCCCTCTTTTGTAGTGTTAAATTTTAAATCCTTTTTAATTTAATTGTTTATTTGTTTATTTATTAATTAATTAATATATTTCTCTTTCGTAACTTATTTTGGTTTATTTGCAATCGTAAACAAGTTAGCAGATAATCAACCAAAAATTAAAAATCACTAATTATTTTTCTTTTAAAATTCATTTTTTTTCTTTAATTGTCATTCTTTTTAAACTAAACTAGTTGAAAAATTGAAACAAACTATGTTTGCGTATTATGCTTATCTATTGATAATAATGGTAGTTACATTTGATTTATGCAAACCCTGAGTAAGAGACATCTTATTGAGCTTAGCAAAATCACGATCTGGTTCTTTAGGACGAGTTTCAGCGTGGTATTTCCAAGTCATGCTAACTATTTATTTTTTAACCAAAAAAATTATTAACAATTTAATATCAAAATAATTTTAAAATGGATTATTTAAATAATAAATTATTATGCTCTCAAAATCTTGTTATTTCCATTATTAGATTAATATGATGTTATATTTCGTTTTTGAGTTATGTTCTTTAATCTTAAAGTTATTTGAACAAAAAAATTCATTCTATAAATCTTCTCGCTTAACAATCATTTTAAATTTTAGTTTTCTCATCAGGAAAATGTAATTTATTTTGACTAAGTGCTAAATTAGAATTAATAATTATCTTTTTCAATGAAAAGCACTCGAACCCAATTCATACATAATATTTCAATTACCTTCTTTAGCTCCTTCTTCGTCACGTTCGAGAGGTCTGCCATAAGTGTAATCGACAGGTGGAAGACTGTAAGCAGATGGCTTGGATCTTCCAACATCATCCTTTAAAAGTAAGGTGTTTTATGTGCGATTATTCCAAGGATAAAATCCGGTGCTAGTTCTTGACATTTTTTTATTACTTATTTGCTATCTAATTGATTAATAAATTATCTAATTATACCTTATATATGTATATATCCAATAATACTATCCAATAAGTTATTGTTATATTTTTATTAGCCAATTTATTATTATAAGCCTTACTATTTCAAAATAAAAATCAATTCATCCTTTCTTTAATATTTTTCTTCTATTTATTTGCTATCATATTCAATCTATAATCATTCATTAAAAACGATGATAATCAATGAATGAATAAAGAAAATTTTATTAATTTTTAACAATTAGATTGATTGATAGATAGATAGATAAATTATCTATTAACAAAAGAAATTCAGAGCAAAATGTTATTAACAAGCAAATAATGATAGTTAATATAGGCAAAAAGCAAATAAAATTATTAACAACATTTTCTAATTATTTACTAACTAATTAACTGGATGGTTAAATCAATAAATAGATTCTTGGGACATTGATTCATGATATTTGAATCTCCAAAAATTATAATTCAAAAAATATAATTTTGTAAAATTAATAGTTAAATTAATTATTAAATGAATGAAAGTAAAACAAAATTTATTATTATTTAACACATTTACTTAATTTTTGTTAAATCTAACATTATAATCTACTACTTTTATTAATTTTAATTCTAACTTAATTTATTTGGAAGGAATAAACTTACTAAAACTTTTGAAAATTAATTATTCATCTAGTTAATTAATACTTTGGACTTAAAATAATAAAATAATTATCAATAAAAAGCAATTAATTTATAAAAAAATAATAAATTTGAATTAATTTTTTATTCTAAAATAGTTAATTACAGAAATATATAAATTTAAAAATAAATTAATCTCTTTATCACTTTTTATTTGTATAAAATATCTTTTTTTAATTCCCTAAAATAGTAGCAAAATATTAATATAGTAAGTAATTCATTAACGAAATACTCTAATTTTTTATTTTTATAAATGATAAATTTTTTTCATAAAATTTTTTGGGGGTAGGAGTGTAAAACATTTTTTCTGAATAATTTTTTATACTTAATAACTACATGAGATAGAGTTGATATAATATATAAAATAATAGTTTTGTGGATTAAAAAAATAAATAAATAAATTAATTAATTAATTTATTAATTTTGTAAAAATTATTTATTATTGATTAATTTTGTTTTATTGACATATTTTTGTGTTGAAAAATTAATTTATTATTATGGATTTTGTTATTTAAAATTGTTGTGCTTATTAATATTAAATGAAGAATATGATTTTTATTAATTTACCTAGTTTAAAATTTGTATTTAACAATGAAAAGTTAAATTTAAGAAATAAATAGAATCAATCCTTAATTCTTTGAATTATATCAGAAAATTTTAATATTACTTATGAAGGGGGCTCAAAAATAATTAGGGAAAGATATGAGTGAGATAGTGAGTAATAATCTAATTGCATGCATTGACTAATGCAAATATTATAATCTTATTTATTTATAAAAATACTAACAAAGTACTTTATAGTTATTAGTTAATAATAATTTCATTTAAGATTTTCTACCGAATATTCCTTTGTAAAAACTATTAAATCAAATTATATTAAAAATAGTAATACAATCAATAAACAAATAAATAAAGAAACACACTTTAATAAAATTATTAAAAAAATATATATATATACATAAATTAGCAAAAAAAAAAGTAGATTGATGGCAAGCAGAACTATTACATTAAAAAGATTTCTTATTTTGAATAGTATTTGGGCTATCCCTCTTTTTGTAAGATTATTAGATTAGTTTCATTTATTTAATTATAGAAACAAGAGATATTTTCATACAAGCGAATGAAGCTACTTGAAATTCTTAAATAGAAACATAGTTAAGCATGCAATCTTTAATATTTTTATTTATAATTGTATAAAGTCAAGTCAAAAAATGGATTCTTTCCAATGCTATATCAAGCAAATTAAGCAAATAACTATGAATAAGGTCTATGCAGCTACCAAAGACAATAATAATTACATGTACGAATACAATTTTTAGAATTTGATATAGTTTTTTGTAATAAAATCTAATTTTATTAACATAGAATAATCTCTACTAATGGTGGTGAATTAAATAACATTAAAGATGATTAAATTTAGAGTTTAAGTTCAAATATTTGCAATGAAAACAAGGAAATTCTATAAATTATTGACTTGATTCAAAAGAAGCAAAAGCAAGATGAGTCAGAAGGTAATTAAAAGCAAAATAAAGAAGATAAAAAGCAAAAAGAAAAGGACGATGAAGATAAAGAAAAAAAAGAAGACGAAGATAGTGACGAAGAAAGTGATAGTGAAAGCAGTGATGACGATGATGATGATCAAAGTGGTGGAATTCTAATCCCTGTTATTGAATGGGTAAAAGGCATTATTCCAAGAGTAATTCCTAATCCATAATCTTAATCTTGAGGAATGAAAGAAGACTACTTTACTTACTTACTTACAACTAATAAGCATTCATAAATTCATAAATAGATAGATACATAGATACACTTACATTCCTTTACAAAATCCATTTCAAAATTAATTAGGTGAATTATAAATAATTTTCAACAAACAAGCATCATCCATCCATCATCTATATATATATAAATATAATATTTAAATCTTTTTATAAGATTTAATGGAAATAATAACTCAAAATTAAATAAATTGAGCGAGAATAATTTATGAAATTCAGCTATAGCAGTCCAGTTTAATTAGAGGAATCTTAATGTTGAGATATAATATTCTTTTAATAGTTAACTATTAATTAATTATCAAAAAAGTAGAAAGAATCAAAGTGAAGTTTCTGATTATTTTAGATTTTAAACTGAAAAAAAATCTTTATAAAATACCGAATATAATGCTATCATAAACGAATTTATTTTATTATAAATTCAGTATTTTTATATTATCTATACGACCTTCTTTGTTTTGATTTTTCTTAAATCAGTCTCGCTCACCATTTAAGTTATTTAAATATCATGGAAAATATAATATTTCTTGGATAGATTTGAATTTTATCAAATTTAATTAAATCTAAATAGATTGAGTATGTTTGTTCGCTTATACTTTTAATTTAATTTTAAAGTCGAATAGATCTTTCTAAAATAAGTGTAATTTATACCATAAATAATTTTTTACTTCTAAAAAAGAGAAAATAAAATTAAGAATACTTTTTTTTAGATAGAGTAATAATCTACAATTAAATTTGATTGATTTATTATTAAAAACTTTGAAAAATTGATAAATATTTATTTAATTCTACTAACTAAATATGTTTTATTACCTTTTAAAACATTTTTAATCAAAATATCTAAAATTAATTTCCTAAAAAAATTATAATTTCTTTACAAAGTCTTGGTTCTTTTTCGATTTTAATGTTTTGCAAAGCATAGCATTATATCGATAGTAAGTGATTTTGCTTCAAATCTAAATTAGCCAGTCGCCTTATTTAAATAATTTTAGTTTCGATTAGAAAAATTATATTTGAAAGATAAAATTTAATTAAATTTAAGAGGATTTATTTATCAATTTATAAAATCGTCTAAATTGTCTTTATTTAATCTAATATTATTCATAAATAAATAAATAAATAATATAATTTTTATTAAATTTATCTTATTAGCAAATTTAATTTTTAATTTGTCCAAAATTTCAAAGTATGATAAATATTTAAACTTAACAGTTCATAACTTTATCAGAACCTATTTTACTAATTATTCTTAAACTATTTTTTGAAGTTTTACCCTAACAAAGGATATAAGTAAAATAAATTATTTTTATTAGATTATTTATTAATTTTTGCAAATTTTGAGTATGTATTTATTAAAAATAAAGAGCATTAATAAATTAAAATCAAATATTTTGATATGCATGCAGTAGAAAAGGATATTAGTATATAATGGTTACTTTAATGAATTATTTATTTATTTATTATGCACAAATAAATAATTCGTATAAATAGGTTTTTTAATTTATAAACATTTTTATATGATGAGACTAATTTTATTTTGAAATTGAGTTTATTTTGTTTAGCAAATATCTATCAATTTATTTATCTATATATTTTTTATATATTTACTAATTTATTTACTTAATTTCTGCTTTTCTTAATTTAATTTGAAACAGAAAAATCAATCAATAATCACTATAAATATCTATCTATCTATCTAATTAACTATCTAGTAGATTAAACACAAAATGAATAAATGAATGAATTTTCATTTTGTTTCAATAATTTTCTTTCTTTCATTTATATTTTTTAGATTCTTTCCTTATTTGTTTTTTTAACTTGTAATGTTTATCGTCATCTACATGAATTTAAATATCTTCATAATATCTGCTATATTTATCAGATTTATGATGGTGGTGTGAATCACGGTGATGATGATGGTGGTTTTCATCATGATGGCTGTGGTGATGGCGATGAGAACTATGCTAACTGTGGTGAGAACCATTCTAACTGTGGTGATGACCATGATGTTTACTATGGCTATGGCTGCTATGACTATGATGACTGTGACTATTATGATGATGACTATCTTGCTATCTTTTCTATTTCTTTTTACTGTTTCTTTTTTTTTCATTTCTTTCTTCTTAAGATTAAGAGCTTAAAGCTGGACTAGGTGGAGCCAAATGAGAATCATAAGAATCTTCAGATTCATCAGAGTAATGGAAATTAATTATTTTTCCTTAAAATTTAGCTTCTTCTTCTTTTCTCCTGAGTTTTTATATTCTTTCTTAAAACTTTGTTCCATAAATATCATCTTTTATCTTTTAATAGTCGTTTTTGCAGTTTGAATGCCCTTTTTTGTGACAAACCATGCATTTTATTTTTTGGTCATCAGTCTTTTTCCATTCCTCTTCTATTCCATTAAAAGGTGTGTTTTATTTATACTTCGAGTAGCTATTCATAAAGATAGCACCACAGTCAGCTTTAATATGCCCTGGTTTTTGACATCTAGAACACTTTTATTAGTTTTATTTTGGACAATTTGCACTGGCATGACCAAACTAACTGCAACTGTAACATATTTTTTGCTGGCATTGACGAGCAAAGTGATCACCCAAACAATTATTGCATACATCCTTAACTTCAAGCATACACATTCTCTCAAAATGACCCTATTATTTGCATCTTCTGCATGTCATTTAAGGTTTCTATTCCTGCTAAAAGTACCTATTGTTCTTATCGTATTCAAATAAATCTCTGAAATTCTCTTCTTGCTCATCATCCATTTTTTCTTCTTTGTTTGTCTCAGAGCTTTTGTTTTCAGAGATATTTTTCAAGAGCTCTTGCTATTTTCTCTTCTCCTCCAAAAATGCTAACCTTTCTTATTCTTCCTTAGTGTTGTGGATCTCCTTTATCTTTTATGACAAGTTTCCAGAGCGAGTATAAAAAATACGAGTATCGCCAATAACTTTATAATGTCTCGAATCCTCAAATGTCAAGTTTTTCATTTCTTCTGGAGTGAGCACACTGTTAAAGGCATTTAAGTGCAGAGTATAATTTATCTTCTGTGGCTATTCAGATACATCATCTATATTTGTAGAAGTACTATCTGATGGAGATTTTTAAATTTAATGATTACTGCTATATTAAATGCTTGATTCTTTAAATGTTTCCTATTGAGTTTTCACTTAATTTTCTACTATATAAATAATAAAAATATTATCTTCCATTCATTAATTTAGTATAACCTTACAATTGCTGATGATATTGACTATTTATTCTGCTTTTCCATCATTACTGCTTTTCCTATGGCTATGGTGTTGGTGTTAATGCTAATGTTGATGATCTTATTTCTTTTAGTGAGATTTCTACATTGTTTAAATAAATTATGAAAATATGCAAAAATGAATAAATAAATATATAAAGTATTACATGATCATGGCTTTCTTGAATATCTTTATGGTGAGTGTGATGGTTATGATGATTATGATGATTTTAAGATTTCTATTTTTCATATTATTCCTTTGTTCCTTTACTGCTTTGTTTACTTATTTTTTTGTACCTGCTTGCCATTCTTTTAGAAGAAGATCTCTCCTGTCATATCAAAAGCATATTTTACTTTTTGAATAAAATAGTGAAATTTTACATCGCCACTGCTGTCTGATAATGCCAAATAAGCATTAGGTGATTCCATCAACTATTGAAATTAGTTAAAGCTTTAATAACTTTTTCTTTCGCCTTTTCCTTATTTAGAAGCCTTTTAATCTTGTTAATGTCCACTTTTGTTTCTTTTCTTTGAATATCTTTCCTGTTAAAAATAAAAAGTAACAACTTCGATAAAGTTAAGAAAAAAGCAAGCTAATTGCAGATAAGTTAGCTATTTACATTATCGCTATTGTCTGATAGGTTAAAGTATTATTGAGACGATTTCATCGATTTTTACTTTGCTTAATTCCCTTTAATTAATTAAAAATTAGGTGCCCTCTTTTTGCTACTTATTACTTTCAGAGTTAAGCTTATTTAATTAATAATTTTCTTATTTGTTTTTTAATTGAGTGTATCAAAATTTAATACTTTTGAATCTAATTAATTAATTAATTAATAAATAGTTAGATATAGAAATGGATTTATGCATAGTAAATAGTAAAATATTCTGAGTATTCATCAAATTAATATGTACCATCAAATAATTGGAAGAATTATTCTTAATTATTAATTTATCTTTTTAACAATTTTAGTTCAGTCTATGTTAAAAATTTGATAACAAATTAAATTAAAAAAATCTATACTAATTCTTACATTCTATATATAATTAAATTTCTAAATTTATCTTCAAGCATTATTTAAATAATAAATTTTATAATTTTACTTGTCTAACTTATTATTTTTTTGTTAAATAATTTGACAAAGCAAATAAGAATTAATGTAAAGCTTTAGAATACAATGAAAGCTGCAATATTTCAATAGTATTAGTATAATTTTGTAAAAAAAATATATGCAAGCACTAAATAAAAAACAAATAACTAAATTTTAAATTAAACAAAAAGAAATATTAAAATTAATGTTTGTTTTGAAATATTCTAATTTTATAAAAATGAATTAATTAATTGATTGATTAAAAGAATATATTTAAGAATTAAAAAATTTTTTTTAATATTTACTTAAATTGGAAAATTATTAATTAAATGAACAAAATTATTTTGACACTATGAATTAGAAAATACATACATTAAATGGAATATTTTAATAAAACTTAAAAAGAATAATTAATTATTTAAACGAAAAATTGAAGATGTTTATACTTAATTAGATATAGATAGATATAGGGCATTTTTTTTAAAACTAATTTAACAATTTAAGATATAAATATTTTAAGATATTTAACAATAAATTAAAAAAATATTTGACTAGAATATTGTTTTGTAATTTCATTATTTAATTATATTTTCAATATTTTTTAAATTTTTATGACTTTCTTTTGATTTTTTCATGCATGTGTTATCAAAATAAACTAAAAATATTTTATTTTTCAATCTAAAAACATTTTTTTCTCACATAAAAAGTAATAAATATTTTTTGATGAAAATAAAAAAATTAATTGTTTTTTAATTTTCTAGAAATAATTTTTTTTTATTTAATTGAACAAAATTTTTAATATTTTTTTTATTTAGATTGAGAATTATTTTATTGTAAATTTTTGATTAACTTTAAGATAGATTTTAAGAATTGGTTTTGATTTTTAAATTCAGCTTTTTTGTATTGAAAATAATTAAGAATTATTTATATTTTTAATATAATAATAAGAATTTACAGATATAAATATTTTATAAACTTACATATTATTTTCAAGCATTAAGTGACTACCTTTCTTGAGTTTTCTTCTTCTTTTTCATGGCTCTTTCTAAAATTGGAGTTGGTCTTTAGTTGAAGAGAATCTTTTTATTACAAACTCCTCTTACATATATCTTTACTTAATTATCTTCTTAAACTTTTTCATTTACTAGAATAGGTTCTTTTAAATCAACTATATTTCCTACCAGATCATAAATTCCAATTTTCATCATATATTTCTATTATAAAAAGTATTTAAGTAATTATCACACAGAAATTATTTAAGAATTTTTATTTTTGTTTACTTTTTCATCTATTTTTTCTAAGTTGCCTATTTCTAAAAAATTTAAGCTTTGTTCTTCGTCGCATTCTAAATCTCCTTGAAATTCAATTAGTACATAATCCTTGCCATCTGGCTAATATATCATTTTGATCTCCATCTTATAAAGAGGTAGTGTCTGTTAGCTGCTTTTAAAAAGTAGAATTATTGATCAAATTTATTTTTTTTTTTGATAAAAAGGTCTATCTATCTGTAGCTAATGTTTCACAGTTTGTAAATAAATAAATAAATTTATAAAAAGTTGATAAATTGAGCAAATCTTAATAATTTTACCGCAAAAATTTGAAATTATTAATATTAGTTGGTAAAGCCAACGATAAGTGTTTTATTAAAAAATATCAAAAAACAGTTTTTCTAATTTTCAAATAAATTAATTAGGAATCATCAATTTATGGTGCATTAAGGCAATCAGGAATTGTAATTTAAGAGTAATGGCGAAAATAAAGATGAAACCATATTGAGTGCTTCTTAATATTCAGAAAATAGTTTTCATTTAAATGAATAAAACAATTAGCTCGATGATACAATTCTAACAGTTTAGTAAATGTATTTTGATGCAGTTGATAAATATAAAAATATAAAAGGTCACATTTACATTCTATATATGTTATTAATTCTAATTTTAATCACAGTTTATAGTGCAACAAATGAATAAAATAGTGACAGTGATATGAAGTAAGTTAATTTAAATATAAATGTAGCAGAAGACTTTCAATCTTATTTAGAGAGTAACTAAGAAGAGTTTCAGTTTAACTTTACAAGCATTTTTATTGAGTATCAAAAAATATAATTTGAAAATACTCAGTCTTCTTCAATTAGATATTATATCAGTTTATTCGATAAGTATGTCTTCGGTTAAGTCCAAGATGGTTAGGTAATCAATTAGTATGAGGAGATGATATTAAATTAGTGCATTTAGGATCATGAACAGATGAAATAGGAAATTATAGATAACATAGATGCACTAAAAAAAATGAAAGTGTAAAACGATCTGGAAGAAATTATTGTATTAAAATAAGAAATAGAGGAAATGAAATAATATTTGATTTTCAGGAACTCCACTCTGAATTTCATGAATTTCATCCAAAATAAGACTACCAATTATTATGATTATTATTAGTATACTTTTGAGAAAGTAAACATCTTGAGCAACTAGATAGATAAATTAGATTTTGATATAGTAAGAAACGAGCTTGATATCGTTAATAGAAATATAATTATTGTTGAATAAAGATCAATCGAAGAAGAAAATTAAATACTTAAAGAATGCATGAAAGAAATAATAACTAAAAACACATAAAAGCTAAGCAAAACAGACAAGGACTTGCTCTTTGAGAAATATATTTACGAAGAAAACGAATTAAGATTGAAAGTCCTTGAGAAAAGGATTTATCTGCAAAACAGAAAAAGCAAATTAATCTCATCTCTATAAAATTACAAAAATACTTATTAAGAAGGTGTAAAGGACTTGATCAACAACCTAATTGAGTCTTATTTTAAATGTATACGTTAAGATTGAAACCAAATCAACAAAATAAGTCAATCAATATATTTATTTCTAATTACATTAAATAATTATTGAAACTGAAGGCTAAAAATCGAATTTAGTTTTAAGATTTTAAATGGATGCATTTTGAATGATAATAGCATTAATTTTGATATTATTCATAACTTATTTTTTATTATTTATATAAAATTTATTTATTAAAACTGTATTTTTATAAAATATTTTAACTACATTTTGTTTGTTTGGATTTAGCATGTATTAAAAATAACATTTTATTGATAATCTATAAAACATTTTAATACTTTGTTACTTATAAATTATATAAACAAAAAATTAATCTGATATATTTGTTATTTAGTTAATCATTTTTTTAATTAGAGTGTTGGTGTCTTTGTAATTTGTCTATAAATTTTGGTACGAAAGGTGGTCACTTTAGACAGTTTTCTGTTTTAGATATTAAATTTGATTACAGCATAAAAGAATTTATAAAAATTTGTATTTCAATTTCTTTTTGTAATAAGATTTATGATAAAAAGTAAAATCCATAATATTTAAATTAAAATATTTTAGAAATTTGAATGAGAAATATTCATTCGCTTAATAACTAGATCAGATTTATTTAAAAATAAATAAATGAATGAATAAAAGAAAATACACAATTTAACATCAAAAGCATAACTCATTTTACAAAAGAAAGTAATTGAGTTAGTAAAAGTTAATAACTGTCAATTTATTTAATCATTTATTGTTAAAAAAGTAAAAAATATAAAGCCAGTATTATATATAGAGAAAAAGGTCGTTTAGCGCCTA